TTTCTTTTTTTAAAACCAGCAAGTCTTATTTGTTACACTGCTGCTCCTGCGTATGTGTGTGTATAGCCTTCTGCTAGAGCAGTGGTTCTCAATCTTCTAATATTGCAGCCCTTTTAATACAATTCCTCATGATGCGGTGACCCCCAAATCATAAAATTATTTCATTATTACTTTACAACTGTAATTTTGCTACTGTTATGAACAGTAATGTAAATATCTGACATATAGGATATTTGATATGGGACCCCAGAATGGGGTCACAACCCGCAGGTTGAGAACCACTGTGCTGGTGCATGGTCAACCTATCAGGAGTCACATCATTGAAGAATAATGACTCTCTCCCAGCCACTATCAATTGCCAATAGGTCTTCAGGTAGGGGCAGGACTGGGTGCCTGCCTCTCCTCTTCCCTGCTGGGTTTGGTCTGGCTTGAGCTTGTTCAGATCCTGTGCGTGCTGTCGCAAACCCCATGAGGTCATAGGTGCAAATGCCCTGCTGTATCAGGAAACACCAGTTTCCTTGAACTGATGTGTAATCTGAAGTTTTTCTGTGTCCCGCCTGGTCCCACAGCCACTAGGTCCCAAGCAAACACACAGAGGCTTATATTATTTATAAACTGTGTGGTCTATGGCTTCAGCTTCTTGCTAGCTAGATCTTTCATCTTAAATCAACCCATTTCTATAAATCTGTATGTTGCCACATGACCATGGCATTACTAGTCTTCTGACATTTTGTTCTTCCTTTGGTGGCAGGCTCGCATCCCGAACTTCGCCTTTCTCCTCCCTCTATCTCTGCTTGAACTTCCCACCTGGCTATAAACTTTCTCGCCCTAGGCCAAAACAGCTTTATTATCCAATGGGAGCCACACATATTCACAGCATACAGAAAGACATCCTATAGCACTGATGTATTACCTCTGGCTCTTACCATCTTTCCTCCAAGTCTTCATGAACATACAGGAACCTTGAGGGGAGGGGTATGATATGTATGTTCCACTTAGTGCTGAGAATTCTGCCATCTTGTATTCTCTGAATGTTGACCAGATGAGGGTCTCTGTATTGATCACCATCTACTGCAGGAAGATGCAAGTGATTTAAGCTGCATGTGTCACGAGAAGTACCCAGTCACCACACTTATTTCTGACCCAGAGTCTTACTGTATAGCCCTGACTGGCCTCAAACTCTCAATTCTCCTGCCTCAGCCTCCCACATACCAATAGTACAGGCAAGTATCACCACGCCTGATTGAAGTGTTGTCTTTCATGGAAAACAGAAATAGCTTGGAATATTGTTGAATTTATATTTGAACATAATCATACTACCCACTTTCATTTTTAATTTCCACAGAGATTTAACCACTGTTTTTTAACCACCTCAATTTCACATTGTGATATTTTTAAGGTCATATCTAAAGAAAAATCATTTGAAGGAAATCATTGTGCTGATAGACTATTGGGTATATGTTCATTGAAGGAAATACAGTGTTCTGATAGACTGTTGGGTATATGTCCATTGAAGGAAATCATTGTGCTGATAAACTGTTGGGTATATGTCCATTGAAGGAAATACAGTGTGCTGATAGACTGTTGGGTATATGTCCATTGAAGGAAATACAGTGTGCTGATAGATTGTTGGGTATATGTCCATTGAAGGAAATACAGTGTTCTGATAGACTGTTGGGTATATGTCCATTGAAGGAAATGCAGTGTGCTGATAGACTGTTGATTATATATTGAAGAGAGCATGCCACTCACTTCTTGACTTCTCTTTGCGTTTCAAATTGTCTTCAATGGACATAAACCATTGCCCTAAGAATCAGAGTTAATTAACATATGCTGATATTCTCTCAACAAATACCTGTTCCTTCTACATCCTTCCTTAAACTATGAAGCTTTCTGCTTCTTTTAACACACATATCTGCTTTGAAGATGAAATCATAAAAAATTCAATCTTCAAGGACTAGAAATGGTTTAGGAGTTGAGAGATTGTACTGCCATTGCAGAGGACCCAGGTTCAGTTCCTAAAACCCATCTTGGCTTGCAAGCATACGTAACTCCAGCTTCATGGGGATCTGATACCTCTGGCCTACACAGGCACTTGTATTAATGAGCATATACACACAGACACGTGCACGCGCACACATGCACACACACCCCACATGGAGACAGAGAGACAGGGAGACACAGAAGAGACATGCACATGTGGATACAGACACGAATGCACACACATGGATGGAGGCACACATATACACACACACTGAGGGAGGAACACACACACACACACACACACACACACACAGGATTTTAAAATTTGAATTCGAAAAAAACTTTAGTTGTTTTACAGCTTGCCCAAGTTAGGTACAGTGTTGGTATCTGAGTGAAACCACAGAGCAAGTCCTGTCGGCATGGCCCAGAGCAATGCCTAGTTCATAGGATACATCACATGTCAGGTTGGAGGATGTGGGGGGTGTGGCTTGGGGTAAGGCTGCTAGCCTAGTAAGCAAGTGTGTGGCCCTGGGTGTGAACCCTGGGACCCCAAGTACCAAGGAGAAAAGCTGTTAACCTTTCCATTTTCCATCACATTTACATTTCTATTTTTCTATAATTTATAAAGCTGTGGACAGTTAAAAGTATATGCATATTGCTCAAATATGTAATGTTTGGGGGTTGCTTTTGGACCAGTCACCTTATAAAGTCTTAAAAAGTATTTTTCCAGTGACTTAAAAATCAGTTTCATGTGGAACAGCAGTTTGGGTAAGTTGGGGTAACTGTGTCTGATATGTTAAGTGTAGCTTACATTGTTGGGCTGTTGTGATCCAGTGCTCAGTATGGTTGGTGATTTTAGTAGTGAAACAATATTTTTGGGAACTTGTTACTTGGAGCCAACAGACAGGATTCCCTACCGAGGAGTCAGAGAAATTGTGGACAGATTCCCAGCATCCAACAATCAGTAGAATTTTATATATGGAAGCGTTGCTTAAATGTCATTTTGAATTTAAAGAATTCAGTATCTGAGTGGTAGAAACCATCTTTAATATCTTGGAATGCCAGCAGACAAGACACAAGGGGATGCTAAAATTTAGTCAAATGTCCTCATTTTGCATTTGAGTCGAGGCCTGAGCTCTAGATCAATAGGATACAGTCACTAAGTTCATTGCAGAGCCTGAAATTGAGTGAGTTTAGGAAACATACAGACATTAAAAGAGTTTACTCATAAAATTCCTCCTTCCTCTCCTCCTCCTTTTGGAAAAAATCTGGCAAACAGTGTTCCCTTCCCCAAGATTATAATAATACTCTATGTTCCTTTCATGGGGGAATATCGCTGTTTAGCTTCTACAGTTAAGACTGTGAGCGCTCACAAGTGAAATGTACATTCCACATAAAGGTGAGTCAAGTTTTTCACATGTAATCGATAGATTTCTACTTATTAAAGCTTCCCGTCCTCTAGTGAGTTGCAGTGGAGTTACATGCAAGGCTGGTGACTGCGCTCAGAGATGGTTCTGAGTGACTTCTCCATGACATTGACCCTGGGTGTCTCTCCTTGTCCTGGGTCACACTGTGCTGACAACTTGGCAGGTTCTTGGCTTTATTTTTCTTATTGGGACTGGTTTCTTCTAATTCCTGTAAAAATTGTAAAAGAAGCTCACCAATCTTTACTAGCTTCCTGGGATTTTGACTGGTCCACACTAAGTCTTTGGATCCGGAGATCCGTGGACATTTTCACTCTCTGTACTTTGCATTCTGCATGTTTGCTGTGTGGTTTGCTGTGTACTGACCTGTCACATGCTTAACACGCTTTAGAAAATCATTCCAACACTGAGCTATGCTCGATAGAGTTAATATACTCGTAATGTGTGCAAAGTCATGTTTGATATAGGTATGCTTTGCACGATTATATTTCATTGAATACATGTAAAACTTCTGAACAAGAAAATATATTTTAAAAGTATTGCCTCAGTAAAGCTAGTTAGTATATCTGCTTTCTCTCTTTTTGTCTGTATGTGTGTACACATGTACTGAAAATGTATAAGATCAATTCTCTTAGCAAAATTATGAGTGTACAGTAGTATTAGCTATAGTCATCACACCATACAGTAGACGTTTCGTTACTGTAAGTTTATACCTTTCTATTTACATTGGTTTATCCTATCCCTGAACATATGTTTCTCTAGCTTACTTACATTTAAATAACAAATTTCTCTTAGTAATGTTTTTTGTCAGGGTTCTGTGTGGCTATCATGAATATTTTTAATTAAATTATTTACTATTTTATATTATATCAGGTCACATTTAAACCCTGTCTATGTATACATCATGAAATATAATTAACTTTTCATTTGTTGCTTTTGATTGACAATATTGTTAGTCTGTTTGCAGAGATCTTTAGCTTTCGGAATGAGTCAGCATTAGAGAATCAGATGCTCATGAGATTTTATTTTTCAGCAGCTGTGGTAACTTCCTTTCTCTGCTGACCAGGATGTTGGCCTTGAAAGTGAAACATGATGATGGGCAACGCTGTTCCTTTTTGTCTATTGTAGGAAGTGTTGGACAACACTGTTTTTTGATTGTGTCTGTTTTGGAAGGTGCTGAACCACACCCCCCCTTTTTTTGATTGTGTCTCTTGTGGAAGGTGTTGGATGTTTAGTCTGAGAATTTGGGCCCACCTGTCAACATCCTCTGTGAGGTGACGGAAGTTTTGTGCTAGTCTGTTTTCCTGCTTCTCGTGAAGGTGTTGATTTTCATGAAATGTTTTGATAAATTATGATTAATGATAATTAGGAATTGTTAGTCAAATACATCATTAAAAGTCTAGAGAAGCAAATGGGCAGAAACCACATGTCTGCAATACATGTATTGATAAAAGACTGATAAAGAAAGACAGTAAATCCAACTAAAGTGAGCAAAAAGAACTTGAAAGCTTTGAATGGACAAAACTTACCCAATGGATAAACATCCTTGAGTTCATGCTAATATGAAGACAAGATCAAATAGAAATAAATGGATGAGAAGGGACTAATAATCTTTATTGAAGAGCTATAAACGATATATATATATTTCCTCCTCTGAGATTTTTGGGTTTCATTTCTCCTCTTCTGAGGTGAGTGGCACATAGTAGCTCGCCTCCAAAGAATAGACCATGAAAAGGAAAAAGTTATGACACAGTGGAGAAACCCCCTGGGTACTGCCTTCACCAAGGGATGAAGGCAGAGGCAAGTCATGTTAATAGCACGTACTCTCTGATGTGATGCAGAAAGCTGGGCATCTCAACTCCAGATGCCCCATGAGACATAGCTATGATTCTGAGTTCTGTTCAAAATTCAGCAAGTAGGCATGCAGGATAGACCCTTGGAATTGTGCAGGAACATGGGAAGCAAGAGAAGCAGGGTGGTCTAGGGTGAGGGGCTGTGAGCAGCTAGAAGTGAATAAGTATAGGCAGAACAATCCCCCATATCCAGGCAGGACTTCCCATGTGCCTTCATGTGCCAAACACGAGGCCTTCTTAAAACTTCATCATCGCAGAGGCAAGGTAACAAGTGTACATTGAAGGAAAAACAAATCCAAATATGTTTTCCAAATTAGTTTTTAAAATGCCAATTATATATCAATGGAAGCAATATTACTTTAAAATCATGTTTTCTGTGTTATAATATCCATTCAGTTTCTAGATAAGCGACGCTAATGTGGAAAGTCATTTCCTCAGTGCACACCCAGTAATGAAGTCACTTAGATGAGATTGCCTACTTGATTTATCACCACAACCAGGTGATGGCAACACTTCCCTGGAAAGCTTTTACAATTTATCAAGTTGTGTTGGCCCAAAGAAAGGTAATTACTTTCTTTAGGTTGATGTGATGTGTGAAACAGTACCGGCACTAGAGATGTTTGCCACGACCAATCTTTTACTTAGAATTTAACTATGACGCATTTGCTATATGTAGAGTAGTCACTGAAAGTTTCAAGGGCACAGGGTAATGCTTTCCCAGGCTCGGCATGTCACCATGAGGAGGATGGAGCAGATTTATTTTACAGACTGAGGGACGACAGACAGTGGTAACAAGAAAGCACATGTAGATACAACAGAATGAGGTTGTCATCAATAATTATAGTTATCCCTCAATGGATTGTTATAAACCAATGAACTTCCCACTCGGAAAGAATTGACAGTGGCCGAGTGTAACATCAAGAAGCAGAAATGACTCTTACATTATGCAGAATACACTGGGCTAGACTACCTAGGACATGGCCGAAGCTTTTGTGTTGGCTGAGACACAGTACCAACAAGCCAGGGTTCTAGACAAGATTTCCATCTTGACAACTCATGAAGTTTGTCAAGTGAATACATATCTTTCTGCAGTACATTTTGCTAAGTCTGTGTCAGAGTTCATTCTGCAGGGAAAATGAAATGTGCTTCTACATATCCTGGAACACATTTAAAATGCCATATTTGTCCATGTTCCTACTCATTCCATCAATGTAAGAATTTAAGTGGCTTGTAAGACCACTCAGTAAATTGAAACAAACAGATACATGGTGGTGTTTCTGAGGGACCTCTTTGTCTCTCTTCTGATGGAAGTTGCCACCTTTCCTTTCGTGAATACTTCTCCCCACATCTATGGGTTTCTATTAAAGCTCAGGTCTTCTGTCCCATCATATATCACCAGAATTAATAGTTCAGGAATTGATACCAGATGCAAGGTGAATTGTAACTGGCACCTAGTGGGAGAAATCCATGGAGTCCACTTTAACGGCAAAGGAATTTATTTGGGAAAGAAATCTCACAAGACAGAATAGAGGAATTTGTTGCAGGATCTTGGAAAGGTGAGGCACAGTCCCACACTGTCCTTCCACCTGAAATCTGCCTGGTCTGTCCCAGCATCCAAAAACCACGAGGGAGCAAAGAAGAGTGTATGTGCATCGCAAGTCTTAAGGGTCCCAAGTGGCCATGCCCCAGGGGCATGTCCATGCTTCTGTATATCCTGGAAGACATGTAAAATACCATATTTGCCCATGTTCCTATTTATTCATCAATGTAAAAATTTAAGTGGCTTGTAAGACCACTCAGAAAATTGTAACAAACAGATACATGGTGTTGTGTCTGAGGTGCCTCAGCCTCTTTGTCTCTCTTCTGATGGAAGCTGCCACCCTTTCCTTCATGAATGCTCCCCCCACATCTATGGGTTTCTATCAAAGCTCAGGTCTTCTGTCCCATCATGTATCACCAGAATTAGTTCAGGAATTGATATCAGACCAAGCTGAGTTCTAACTGGCACCATCTCTAAAATTTCTTTGAAAGAAGAATGTGAACTTGTCCTTTATTTTGGTATCCCTAAGATGTGGCTGGTCACTTCCAAGGCTATCTTTCTTGCTTGAGCAGATAGCTTCCTGGAACCAGGGAGGCAGAGCCCTGCATGTAGACATGCTGAGATGCTATTTCCAGCTTCCAAGTGTCCAGACTTAGAGCTGTCTTGTTCATATGGCTTATTCTTAGAATACCTTATTTTTCAACTGGTAACAACCCTGATTTTATCCCTGGAGTTAGCCCCAGTTGGATTTTTTTTCCTTAACAGTATGAAAAATGAATTTGAAAAGTAATAGCAATTAATCAATAATCATTAAGGGCCAAGTGAGTTAATTATGCTAAGTACCTGGGACATGTATATTCAGTGAAGGCTTAGGAATTTTCTCTTTTCACTAGAGAGATCAGATGAGATGTCCTGATTGGAGAAATGTAATTAAGACCTCTATGCAGAAACACAGTGATATACTTAAGGTCTGATGCTATGATAAAGGACATGTTTAATGACAAACTCAGAGGTAAGAACCTGAAGGAAGGCTGCGGAGATGGCTGAGTGCTAAGAGTGCTTCCAGAGTTCAGCTCCCAGGACCCATAGCAGGAGGTTCACAGCAGACTGTGATTCCGATTCTAGGAGACCTAATGTCCTCTTCAAATCTCTATGAGCATGCATGTGCACCTACGATGTCCTCTTCAGGTCTCCATGAGCATGCATGTGCACCTACAGTCACACAGACACACAAATAAAAAATAAAATAAAGAACTAGAGAAGTCAAAATAATGCCAAAATTTACTGACAGGATGATGAGGCCTTTATAAGGGAGACATTTGAGGAAACCAGTTAAGGATGGGAGGGATCTTGGACTATCATGATATTCTGCTCATGTTAGAACAGGCACATTTTTAGGTCACAACACACCATCACTTTAGAATGGAAATAATTTATTATACACAGAATTGAGCTGAGATACAGATGAGGAATTATGTTTTTGATTTATGCATATTTATTCAGACTGTTTTATTTCTCAGGAACTATGAGCAATGACAGTTATCAGAACACCTCTGAACCATGAACCCTTGTTTTAATAAACTTAGAGTGCATGTAGAGCCTTCAGAGTAACTACCCTGAGAGGACGTCAAGAATATCTAGAATAGGTTCTAAGAGAACACTAGATGGGGCAGGAGGCATCACACCTTGCCCTGGAGTCCAGATTTGTGCAGTGTACTGGGAACCTGTTCACCCACATGTGCCTCAGCAAAGTGACTCCGGTGAGTTACAAAGGAGAACTAGACAGGTAACACTGGAAGAACACTCCTCAGAGTGCTTAGAGCCCATAGGATGACAGCCAAGAGAGGATGCTGGGAGGCTCCAGAATCCTTGTTTTCCTCTCCTCTGGAGTCTTTGGATTTCCCCAAGGCTCTTCCTAATTTTCTGTTGCTGTACTGGAGCATGGCTGGCATGTTGGTAGGGTGAGTGGGAGGAAATGCTTTCTATAATCTTCAGATTAGAGCTAAAGTCTTTGAGTGGACTCATACCCTGAGGTGTGTGACCCTCATACGTACTTCTTTGGCTTCACTGGGGAACAGGCCAGGTCTAATGGTGTTCCAGCTATGGCCCTGCCTCCCACCTCACCCCACTCTCAGACAGGCCCTGGGAAAGACTCTGATTGTGGAGAGTGATTTTGATTGTGGAGAATGTTGAGTATATTCCATAATGTCCACTTTCCTTCCCCTACCAGCACAAGGCAATGAGCTTAGCTTTCTGCTAAGAGCGCTCAGCCAGGTTCCCGGAGTTACGACAGCATGACCCTCTCTGAGTGTGTGCCCTCCAGAGTTCTCACACCCATTCTTTGTCACGCTTGGGTCATATTTCATCGTAATTGCTTATACACATTCCCACCGGCTTGTGATTTCCCTGGCTTCTACATGGTGCCTGCAGGTCCTAGCTGTACTTCTAGGCATTTATCTTGTCTTCAGGTGTGGTGCTTGTGGCTTGCCTTGTATCTCATGGTCTTTGTCCAAGAAAAGCCCTGTTTTTCAGTTCACTCAATTGTGTTGGTGTTGTTATATTATTATTATTACTACACGGGAAGTTGACTCAGAAGCTCTTGCCGTGTCAGAATTGAAAGGGAAAGCGTGACAATGCAATCAATGTAGAAAATATATCAGGAAAGATAGCAGGAAGCTCCGCACACATTTGGAAGCTGAGTAACACCTTTATAAATACTCGATAGATCAAAGGAGGGCTCTCAAGGGACCAAAGACATTGGACTAAAGTAAAGGAAGCCAGGACATAGACGTGTGTGTAAGACAGTCAAGGCTCTGCTCAGAAGGTGGCTTCTCACTCTTAATACTTAGACTAGAAAGGGAGGAGTCTACTCAGTACTTAATTCCCTACCTTAAAGATTGAAAATAAAGAACAATAATATCACAACATCACCAGAAGGAAATACATGGCCATCATAACAGCATCAATGACCACAATCAAAACCAGAAACATAATAGAGAAAATCGTGGCACCAAATCTGGTTTCTGTGAATGCCAGCACGATCCACCCACCTTGAGCAGATCTGAGAAACTGACGAAGATGACATGAAGTTCCTGCATGTTTTTGCTTCTGAACAGCCTACATCCTGGGATGCCAGAGCGTCACCAGCCAGGTGAGGGTGACTCAGGCTCTTGGGAGATAATCTCAAAGGAATGGTGATTTGGAGCATGCCAGAGGTTTGGGTGAGTTTGGTTTAGAATCACACGGAGGTCCTTGAGACACAGACTTAGAGAGGATACTCAGAAAGCACTTCTCCCTGAGGTCGGGCTTGACTTTGATCACAAGGTTTTAAGAATCACACTGCTGAGCACCCATATAAAAGCTAGGAATGACTATATATGTCCATAGCCCCAATCTTGGAGTATAGAGACAGTCTGACCCAGGCCACTGAGCCTAATCCAATCAGTGGGTCAGTGAAAGAGATACTGTCTCAAAAATATAATATGGAGAGCCATAGAGGAAAAATACCCAGTGTTTTCTTCTGACGGCTGCATGTTCACACATGGGCACAAGCTCCTAGGTACGTGCACACATACCCCCGACACACCCACTCACACTGCTGTCCACTGATAGCAGTTTAGTCTGAGCAAGATGAAAACGTTTAGTAAACTTCTGTCATGTTTAGGAAATGGGATGTTGCTGGATTGGAGCTGGAAATCACAAGAACTGGATGCAAATTTCTCCCCTCCTGGAGGCTTTGTTTTGGGAAAGTCTGAGCCAGGTGCTGGTGTTCAGTGGCATGGACACTTCTGTGTGGTCACTGTTGAACACGGGCAGCACACCTGACCTTACCCATAACCACTTGGGCTTTTCTTGGTCTGGTTCAGCAATAACGAAAGGTAATGGTGACATGTTTACATTTCACTGAATTTAATTTGTGAGGTTATTGGTCCCTTGGGAAATATTATAATAATTATTATTATCTTCAAGTAATCAAGTGCCAACATCTCAGGATGGTTTATTTGGAGTCGTGAAACTGAGTGTTTATTTGGAAAAAATCTGTTTGTAATACAATATGCAGGCACATTATGCAGTTTGCTAGAGGGGAACATGGGCAAATTGATTTGCAAGTAAAATATTTTGTAGAATTAACATCAGCGCCTTTTTATGACTTGAAATATTCTGAGGTTTTAGAAACCATTTTTTTCATTTTGTTGTATTTGGACTTTTGAGAACGAATGGGAGTTGCTGTATAGTCCCAGATGGGATAGAACTCGTTATGTAGATTAAGATGGTCTGAATTTACAAGAGTCCTCCTGCCCCTGCCTCCGAGAGACCACTCCTTCACGCTAAAGTTATTTATGGAATTTAAAATGTAATGGCAAAGATGAATTCTGATAGCATAGTTTTAAATGCAGACACATTGATGAAATGTAATTAATCAACAAGGGGGCCCCAGGTCAACTATCTTGTCTGCTTTTTTGAGTCTTGTTTAGCAACTTTTACTGATGGGGCCTGCTGATGAATGCCTGTAACCTCAGCAACCAAGGAGACAGAGGAAGGATGATAGTATCTATAGAGGGAGGCTAGTCTAGCAGCTTTTAGACCGTCCTGTGTGACTGAAGTCCTGCCGCATGTAACAGAGGAAGGAGGGGTCCTTTACTAGCTAGCAGTCATGTGATGCTCATGTGTTCTAGGAAGGTGAGCAGGCAGTTCACTGGTTTTCTGTAGGACCCACCCCTTTATGCACAGGTCACATTCCCCACTGCTCCGAGTTTGCCCCTATGTCCATGCAGCACAATTCCGGGGTAAAACACAGCTCAGTCACTGCCCCTGGATCAAATACTTACAACTTAGTTACTGCTCTGTAGCCAGCTTCAGTTTCCAGTGGGACAATCATTTTCATGTTGCTCTTATTGACAGGGGTTGTGGAAATCTTTGGGCATTTATATGTATTTAGGTTTTAGACAGAGTTCATGAAGTCTATGAGAACTTCCCTCGAGCCTGTAGACCGACTTCCATAGATGACCAGGTGTTGAATATTGAGTTTTTAGTTAAAAAACTTGGTAGATGTCTCATTTTATTTAGCTCTTTGATATCTTCTAAAAACTGTCATACACCTCTCTGCTGAGATGGCATTTGTATAGAACACTAACTCATGTTTATTTGTTTAGTTATGTGAATTACCTTTTTATATTATTACATGCGTTTGTTTAGTGTGTGTGGTGGGGGGTGTGTTCATACCATAGTGGGAATGTGAAGGTCAGGGAAGAACTCATGGGAGCTGGTTCTCTCTTTCTACACCGTGAGCCCGGGGAATTCGAGCAGGCTGGACGGCTAAGGATGAGCCATCTTGCCAGCCTGGCTTCTAAATTATTTTTTTATTGCTGTAGATTAGAAATAAATTATAACTTTGAATATGGGCTTACATAAGATTTAAATAAGATTTGCCAAGTCTTATTAGTTAAGATAATGGATCTGCAGATTATCTCAGATTTCTTAATAGATGATCTTATTTTCTAAAACTAATGACAATTTGGCTTATTTCCTTTCGGTTTTACCTTTAGCTTTGTATTTGCACATTTTTGTTTGCTTCGTTTGATCCTTACCCAAAAGGAAATGCTTGTAACATTTAATGCATTTTGCACTTTACAAAGGCAGGGCGGAGGGAGGATGTAACCAACGGTTAGGACACCCCATGAAGTCTCGTCCTGGCAGAGAAAGCAAGCATTGTGAGGTGTGTCAGGCCTGCCTGGATCTTGCCACCTCCGACTTAGTTGCTCATGTGGGATAATGATGTCAGAAAAAGAGGCAGGGAGGCTGTCCGGACATTCCAAAGAGGCACCAAAGCTCTGAAGAGACAGTGCATGTGGTAGCAGGAAACCATCTGCATCTTGATATTTTTCCTCAAGTCAGAGTTGGAGATTTCTCAACAGTGAGATACACAAGGCACTGAGATGCACCAAGCAGCTAAGGATGGAGAGGGCCAGTCAGCTAGGGGAAGAGGGCTTCCAGCTGGAAATCTAGCCCCAGGGATTGGGTTTCAGGGGATATTGCTGTGAGGTGTCCCCTGGACATAGTTGTGATGGCTACTGGAAGCTTTTTATTGGGGATGAGAAGTTTCTTTCTGCTGAGCACAGTAACTCATACCATACACAGGGCAGTCAAGGGGCCATGGACCATACAGTCCTTTCTATTCACTCTCCAGAACACCTGTGCTGGACAGCTCTCCTGTCATGTGACTGGAAGTCTCATCTGCTTGTGTAGATCCTAGAGAAGTCCCTGTACTAAACTGAACTTAGTTAGAAGCATCTTTATTTCCCCCCATTTCTCAGAAGATGCTTAAGTGGGGCTCAGCAATCCTTTCCTCTGGTGCCTGGACAGTGTTACACATCCTGGCTCCTTTTTCACTAAAGAGAGACAGTGGATGGCTGTGACTGACTTGTAGGTACTTGCTTTTTTTTCCTCCTGGGCTTCTTGCCACTGAGTAGTTTTACAATATCATTTTCTTCTGTCTCTCTCTGTGTGTTCCTGCATTTGCTGCTTCACACTTGTTACAGGTATGCATGAGTGTGTTTGGAGGCCAGAGGACAAGCTTCGCGGTCAGTCCTCAGGAGACAGGGTCGTTCGCTGATCTGAAGTTCTCCAAGTAGAAGAGCTTGTTGGGGAAATGGATCCTGGGGATCCTCCTCTCTCCACTTCTCCCAAGCTGAAATTAAAAGTATGGGCCACTATGTCTAACTGTTAGGTGGGTTCTGGGGATTGAACTCGGGTCTTCATACAGGTACGGCAAGCAGTTTACTGATTGAGCATCTCCCCAGCCCTAAATATAATTTCATTTATACAACTGGCAACATTTCAACAATTCTAAGAAACTTGGGTTCCTTCTTTTTTTTTTTTTTTTTTGAATATCAATTCTTAGCCTCCATTCCCTCCTCTTGGGCCCCTAGTTAGAGAAATCTTAAAATATCTCCATTTCTTTTTCTTTCTTTTTTTTTTTTGTGGTGTATGTAACACCTTTTATGTTTCTCACCTATTTTTTTTTGTCCATTCTACATGTTCAACAGTTTCTTCAGCTCTGTGTGCTAGCTCAGTTCTCCCTCAGCCTTCTCTGATCTTCGTGATGTGTGTTTCTCTATATGTTCCCTCGTAGTCCTTTGGTGCCTCAGCCATATGCATGTGTGTGTTTATACTCACACCTTATCAAGATGTACATCTGTGTATGCATATATTATTTAATTCCAGTACAAAATCTAGATAACAAAGGCAATGTACATTTATTTCAGAATCTTAGGAAAAACTGAACAGCAACATCACAAGTGCATTCTGTCAATAGGTTATTAGGTAAACAGATAAACAGAGGGTGGAGGGCTAGGCCTTCCCTGATGATAGAACTCCACCTGGTAATGTGGGGACCATGTTGGAGTTGGAACTTGGCAGTTTGCATCCCAAAATGAAAAGTCAGAGGAGTCAAGAGGTGTCAATGGACGGAAAATCAAGGGGGAATTGTGTGTGTGTGTGTGTGTGTGTGTGTGTGTGTGTGTGTGTGTGTGTGTGTGTGTGTGGTCTGAAATCCTGTCACATGTCTTCTCCAGTTGTTCTGCTCTTCAGTTCTTGAGACAGAATCTCTTATTGTCTCAATTGCAGTTCTTTATTGGCTACACTGGTTGGCCATCGAGGCCCAGGATTCTCAGGTCCCCACACCTCCAGATCCTCAGGTTTACAAGAGCATGCTGCCATCTCTGGCATTTTATATGAGCGCTGCTGTCAGAACGCAGCTCCTTATGTTTACATGATAAGGAACTTTCTACTGTGATTCCCACCCCCACCCCCAGCCCTCTGAGTGTGGGAAAGATCGTGGGTCTCCTCACAATCTGCCTGTTCATCTAAAAAGTACAGCAGTGGGAGCTGATAGCCTCCATGGGACCAGAATCAACCTCCCTGGTAACCAGGGCAGAGGACCCAGGACACCAGGGCCTTCAGGCAAATGCCTGAGATGGACACAACTTCCCCTTTTACATTCTGGGTGAGAACACATATCCTGGATTCAGTCACGATAAAAGAACAGATTAACCAGCTTCCGCTAAGAACAGGAGGATGCAGAGTTCTTCACAGCTGCCGCAGCAGCCACACAAAGTTGAGGGCCTTCAGATGAAGGACAGGCAGCTCCTGTAACTGAAGCTAACCCTGACCCCAGACAGGTTCCCACCCAGGAGAGGACTGACACCAAGAAGGACAGGACAGGCTTATGGCAAGACCATAAGATTAGAGGCCAAATGAAGGCACACGAGTGCCTGGCTGAAGTAGGTGACTGCATGGTGGTTGTGAAGGCAGATTTTCCTGTTATTTATTTGTGCACAGGCATGCCACAGCCCGTCTGTGAAGGTCAGAGGACAGTTTTCAGGAGTTGGTTTTCTACTTCAATCTTTATGTGGGTCCCGGAGAATCAAACTCAAATCGTCAGGCTTGGTGGCAAGCGCCTTTACCCACGGAGCCATCTTGCTAGTCCTGGTTTTTCTAGTTTATTTGTTTGTTTGTTTGTTTATTGGTTTTTTGAGGCAGGATTTCCCTGTAGCTTTGGAGCCTGTCCTGTAGACCAGGCTGGCTTTGAACTCAGAGATCCACCTGCCTCTGCCTCCAGAGTGCTGGGATTAAAGGCATGTGCCACCACCATCTGGCCTTCTATATTAATTAGTACAAATACTGGAATATTTTGGGTTAAAATTGTACACACAGAAAATTAATCTACTTTTTGCTTGTTTTTGTATAAATATATGTCATCAACAGGCTTTTTATTTCCAATCTATGGATTTAAGTGTTTGCCTTTGGGAGAATACAGGAAATATTTTCTAGAGTAAAGTTCTGAGAGAGAAATAACATGTTCCTTTTAAAACGTACTGAGACTAGACATGTACTTTAACAAAAGTAGGTTTTTAGATGTGTATTTGTTTTGTTCCCATCTTCTATACTTAATTTTTCTTATATGTCAATTTGGAGAAAAGAATCTGTAACTGTGGGGCTTGTGGCTGGTCCTCAGTTCCCATTCCCTGCAGGTTTCCTGGGCCCCTACGCCAAGCAGAAGTTGCAGAAAATGCAGTGTGTGCAGTGTGTGCAGCCGTGCTGCTGTCAAACCTAGAGGACTGATGAGCAAAGCCCCGCCCCCACCCCCATCCATCTCCCCAGCTCCTGTGCTTTTGTGAAGCCCCCTTTATCATAGCAAGGCTTCCTCTGCTCCCCGGCATTCTGATGACCCATGATACATACTTCAAAGCCTCAGCCCATCAGGAAACGCCATGGCGAGAAGTCATCCTCATCCTGGACTCTGATTTCACCATTTCCGGCTGCACCCCAGCCTTGCCTCACCACGCAGGGCATGGAACAGGGCTCCGCTCTTTCCCCAAGCTTTTTCTCTTTCCTGGAGGCTTTCACTGAAGGGTGGAGGAAGCCAGCAAACAGGAGACCAACCTTCTCCTCTGTCCATTCACACGGAAGCCCCCTGCCACTTATCTGCAGAGAAAAGCAAGGGGATTTGTTGGCTAGCTCCAAAGAGAGGACCGGATGAGTAGCTTGTAAAAAGGGAAATAGATGAAACTTCTGTGCCTTGGAGAGAACAAATTCTGGGCACTTCCACAGACTGATTGTGTGCCGAGGAAGTCCCAGCGGCTACCACAGCGATTCAGATTCTAATGTGAACAGAGCTTTTGATTTCATGGTTTAACATAAAATGACCCAAATATAATTACTGAAGCTGATTAAGTTGTTTGCTCTGGGTCAGCAACCCTTCGCTGGCTGCAGGGGCTTTTTACAAAGGGTTCAGGGGACGAGTACTTCCGCTTGCATTGCTCACATTCTTCCAGAGAAGTTGCCATTGCTTGCTTTAATCACTATATCCTACTAAGGGCCACTTGTTACCTATTTTTTAAAAAAAATTAGCTTAATTTTTTCAGAAAGAAGTAGCAACGTCACAACGGGCACTGTCCACTGGGTGGCCGAAAGTTACAAGGAGCCCACTGGGGCTTACCTAGTTGCAAGGAGCAGGACAGGAGTTAGAGAAAGACCAGCTCTCTGATAGGAGGAGGGTCCCCAGCCGAAGACACAAGACCAGATAGCAAGAGCGAGGGACTTAAAGGGGTGAGGAAAATGTGTTCTGTAAGACTGTTTTTCAGATATTTCCGTTAAAGAGATGCTGAGAGCCTACATGCTAAAACTCAGTTTTTACTTCCTAAAGACAAAATTTGATCTAACGAAATTAGAGACTTTATCATTTTTAAAAATGTACTATGGCAGAGTTGAAAGTAGGAAAACAAAATACTAAAGGAAGATGCTTTATGAGGAAGATCCTGAACATTTATGTTCTAGAATTAGAGACACACTTCTTAGCTATTAATAGACTTTAACCCCGTTTCCTGTTGCTGTTTGAAAATGTAGGTATATCTATTAAAATTCTCAATTGATGTGGATTCCATGTTAGGTTCAGCTGTGGTTTTACACTGTGGGCTATTGCTAATTTTTTTTTCTTTTAATGTTTATATTGATGTAATCTCAGATTCATGCCCAGGCTTGTGCTTGTGTGTGTGAGTGTGTATGTATGCATGTAGTTCTAGACAGCTCTCACGTATGGAGATCAGTATACCTTCTGTACCATGAACACACAGGATAGTTCCCATGGGGCTCTCCTGCTGCCCTTCCTCATCGTCCCCAGTTCTCTCTCCTTTCTCTGCATCCTGCCAATCACTGGCCTATTTTCTTCCTCTGTACCAGTGTGGATTCAATCATTTCTGTGCAAACTTAGCACAGGCCTCCCTGTGCCTGAGATGGCCGCACAGCCTCGTCAGCAGGTCACGGGCCTCCAGTGTGTTCTTTAACACACTGCTTGTTCGCTTTAGTGACTGGCTCAGGCCCTCCTTCAGCAGTGATGGGGTTTTCAGTCTCCTTGCCAGGAGCTTAAGTGTGCACTGCCTTTTATTTTTAGTCATTGTGGTAAGTGTGTAATAACGCCTCATCTTGGTTTAATTTGCATTTTCCCCAATGGCTAATGATAAGCAACATTTCTCATTTTCTTTTTTACCTCCTGTATTTTCTCTTTTGTGAAATGTCTTTTGCCCATGGTTTAATTAGATTGTTTATTTTTTGTTTATTTGTTTATCACTGTTGAGACTTGAGAGTTCTTCATATTCAAGAGTAATTATTTCTAAAAGTACAATTAGTTTTTTTTTTAACCACTCTGTAGCATGTCTTGTAATGTTCTTAATGATCTCACAGACCAGAGTTTGAATTTCAAGCACATTCAGTTTAGGAAAATCTACTCTGAGAACTTGAACATTTGGTGCCTTTCTAGCCACAGGGGCTGGAGCTTGATCATACTTTTTACTGAAATTCTGGATATGTTTGGTTTTATACATAAATCCTATGGTTCATTTTGAATTAAATTTTGTGTAGGTGTGAAGTTTAGACTGAAATGCATTAACTTTTCTTACAGGTGTCTAATTGTTTCCATACCAATTGTACGAGTCCTGAAGTTGATTAGACTCAATCTTCTCACTGTCATTTTGGAAAATGGACCTTCAGGATTCTTATATATAAAAAAAACTTTAGGATACTAGTAAAAGATTCATTAAGCAGTTAAGTCACCTTAAATAGAATTGTTATCTTTGCTGTGTGGTCTCCCAAACTGTAGATGTAGTGTTTTCATTTACTTATGCCTTCTCCCTTCTCCATAATCTTAGCAGATAGATCCTATGTATCTATATTTTAAAGTTTATAATTAAGGATTCCAGTTTTCTCTGCAGAAAATGCTACTGTATTTTAAATGTTGGTCTCTAGCAGTGTGTTTTTAGCATATTGAAATGTGCCTGAATTTCATGGGCTGAGCTTGTATCTTGTGACTTGAAATGCATTACCATAATTTGTAATTTCTAATAATTGACGTATTTCTTTGAGTTGTATGTGTGGATGCAGTCAGCTGTGGGACAGCGTCATTTTTCTTCCTTTCTCTGTCCCTTTCCTTCTTTCTGCTTTGAATTCTTGTCCTGGCTAGACCATCTCTCCTTCTGCTCAACAAAAGCTGTACGCACAGACACTTTTCCCCCATCACAGCTTTGAGAGACAGTGTGCAGTCATTGTCCTGGTGAGAGCTAAGGGTTTTGTCAATGCTCTTTACCCAGTTAATGGAGTTTTCGTCTATCTGTAGTCTTCTTTGAACTACTGATGATTGTCGGTTCCTCTTTATAATTCATGAATTGGTGCTAGATGTTTAAGATGCTTTTTCTGTGTCCATAGAGCCTTATGGATTTGCTACTTCATACTGCTTGTGTGGTGAACTACACATACTTCATGATTTTTGAATGTGGAACCAACCTTGCATGTTGGGGAAAAGAATCTCACTTGGTCACAGCAACTAATTATACTTACATACTGCTGATTTTGATTTTAGAATCGGTGTATTTCCCATCCTCTTTTTTGGGAATTGTTATGGTCAGGCCGTGTTGAAGGAGTGTCCAAATCTACTGCACATTAGAACAAGCGTACTTGTCATGAGAAAGAAGAGGTTCCCAGCCAGAAGGTTCTGCTTGTATACTCACCCTTCCTTTTCTATTGACATCTCTCCCAACCATCAGGCACCAGAGTACCCAGGCACTTGACCACGACTGACAAGACTCACAATTCGGAGGTCACAGAAAGAACTGGGAAATTCCAAGTTAAAACTTTTGCTTTAATTCTGTCTGTTTCCACAAAATAATTTACCGATTCAAAATTTTACTGATATGTTGGATAGAGAATAAGAAAAGTACTACCTTGCTTTCTGTCGTGATTTGCAAAACTGGATTAGAAACAGACCTACTCTTCTCTATTCTCTTTTCAGTCACATAATCAAAAAGCTTTGTGAGCCCATAATGAGCCAAGAACGGCTGTGGACGGGGAGGCCAGAAGTGATGGCGGTCACCGAGGCTTACTCTCCTGGAGCTTTGTTTGAAGAATGCTCTCCCTGTGGGTGTGGGTCTATGGTGGACATTTATGGCATGTCAGAATTTCAGTCATTTGGGAGTTTTGTAGGGACTCACTTTTAGAGTTGAGATTCAGGAGAAAGGTGTTCTTGTTTTTGTTTCCGTTAACACTCTAGAGGAAAAGGACACTGAGATACTAGGAGAGGATGTTACCCAGGGAGGATTGAAGGAAGGTAAACCAGCCAGAGGGCAACATGGGGGAAGGGTAGAGAGTATAGAGAAACATTGAGGAGGCAACAATGTTATTATGAAAATGGCCCGCATAGGTGCATACGTTTGCATGCTTAGTCCCTAGTTGGTGAACTGTTAGGAAGGAGTAAGAGGTGTGTCCCTGTTGGAGCATGTGTGTCACTGGGGCTGGGTTTTGAGGTTTCAAAAGTCCACACCAGGCCCAGTGCCTCCCCCCACCTGCCTGTCTACCTGCAGATCAGGATGTAGCTCTCAGCTACTTCTCCAGCACCATGCCTATCATGTGTGTCATTATGCTCCACATCATGGCAATAATGTACTAACCCTCTGAAACTGTAGACCAGCCCCCAGTTAAATGCTTTCATTTATAAGAGTTGCCTTGGTCATGGTGTCTCTCCACAGCAATAGAATAGTGACTAAGACAAATAGTGTGCAGGGTCAAGGAAACTAACTAGGGAAGAGAATTAATACTCGATGTTGAAAGCTTTGGGGAGCCTTTCTTTAGAGGAGAAGTTAAGCAGGAGGCTGACCTGCGCAGACATGGGTGGGAACGACTACTGTCCAGCGATGAGGAAGGCTGACTGGTGATGGTGACAGCAAGACCTGCAAGAGTCTCAGGTGGTGTGAGGGTGGAGATTCGTGATGATTTATAGACCAGAAATGAGGGAGAATATAGGATGATATTTAGAGGCCAATGTTTAGACTTGAACAAGCAATGAGCGGAAGGCATTATCAGACTCTAAGGACCCAAAGGAGAACAGGTTCTGAAGGAAGAAGTTAGACTGTTAGATTCTGAATGTTCAACTCCGTGATTCCCAACAAGAAAATACACAGAACACTCATGCAAGTGTATATATAGAAACACAGACACATCCACATAGTGACAACATTTGAAACAATGGGATTGGAGTGGATTAAGATTATAAGGAAGGCCCGTGAGATGGACCAGTGAGTAAAGGTACTTGCTACAAAGCCTGAAGTCTTGACTTCAATCCCCAGGATCTACATGATAGGAGGAGAGGACCAACTCCCACAAGTTGTCCTTTGACCTTCAGATGCAAGCCGCGGCAAATGCACCCCCCAAGAAATAACTAAATGCAGTAAAAAGAGATACAAATTGTGGGTTGAGAAGGAAATGAAGAACACAGGTCTTGGAAAACAACGGTTTTCAGTGAAGTGAGAAATATGTTTAGCATACTTTTTCTATGAGCATAGACAGACGAGCAGCTTCCTCTCATTTCTCATCATGAAATCTCTGCATGACATGGGCTTGGTGCCCTGCTGGGCAGGTCCCAGTTTAAAGGCTGACCAATGACTTCTGTGATTGTAAGTCAGACATGTCTGCACAATCTCTGGGTTCAACCCCAACAACCAACAAAACAACCAACAAACACAATCCTAACTGTCCTGAAATCCAGAGAACTCATCCTACTTGAAATTTTTTTAGTGCTGGCCATGGAACCCAAGATCTATGCATGCCACGTGAGAGCTCCCCCACCGGCCATGTCCCTTGGATTCTGTTCTACTTGGGTTCTGTTAGGCTGTCACATCCCTTTCTAATTATCAAATAAAGCCCTAGTCCTTGTAGCTTTCTTAATTTGTTCTTTTTCTTGCTTGAGACTTCAGTGTCCTTACACAGGAAGACCTGGATTCCTTAGCAACTGGCAGGCTCCCTATCCCGAGGCATACTTCCTCTGCCAGCTGGCATTTGGTATATCCCATATGGATTCAGGTATGGTCTAGTCTCTTTTCTGTAAAATTTCTAATCTTTAAGGGCCGTCTCAAAACCCTCTGTTGCCATATCTGCTTCCTCAGTACAGCTCCAATCTTAGCATTTTGGCTTCCGTTTTTGTTGTCATCTGAAATACATCTGCTTGTCTTTCACATCCCTGACTAGGCAATGACCTATGGGGCAGGCTTGCAGCTCACATACTTCCTGGAGGCTGCTGGATTGGTATCTGCTGTAAAAAATGCTTCATCAAGTGACTTTCTTAGCGGCAGTAATGATGATGTAATCGGCCTTCAGTAAATTATCATTTATTTTGTTACTCAGGACCAACCCCAGCCCCCAGAAGCAGTTCTCATGGCTGTGCAGGGGGAGTTTTTAATGCCATGCTTTCTAAGTCAGAAGCAGAAAATAGTAACCCTGGCCTAAGCCCACAGTGCTTGCTTCTGTGGGAAGAGAAGAGGAAAAGGGAGCTTTGCTTTGCTCCAGTCTCTACCAATCAGAGTAACATCTTATCAGAGTCATACCATCTAGGAAGCTGGCCACGGACATGTAAGGCCTTCTTCATCAGGGGGTATTGTTGTGGGATGGTCTTTCTGTATGTTGTGAATATGTGTTGCTACTGTTGGTTAATAAAGAAGCTGTTTTGGCCTATGATAAGTCAGAATAAGAGCCAGGTAGAAATCCAAGAGAGGGGGAGATAAAAGGTGGAATCAGGAAAATGCCATCCAGCTACCCAAGGAATAAGATGCTGCCAGCAGACCTTTAATGCCATGACCGTGTGGCAAAATATAGATGAATAGAAATGAGTTAACTTAAGACGTAATAGCTAGCTAGCAATAAGCCTGAGCCATAGACCAAACAGTTTGTAATTAATATTAAGCCTCTGAGTAATTATTTTATAAGCTGCTGTAGGCCAGACAGGACACAGGAAAACTTCTGGCTACAGGGTATAGGACTGGCTGCCCTGTGATGATCACTGGTCATTGAGAAAATGCCACAGGCTGCTAGCTTTCCTCACCTTTCATCATCATCATCATTATTATTATTATTATTATTATTATTTACTTTCCAATATAGACTCTGCTAGAATAATAGAACACTTAGAGGGTTGTGAACACAAGTTGAGGACTATCTCATTTGGGCCTCAGTGGGCTGGTGCCCAACTGCCATCATGGCTGCTGGCTAATAGACTGAGCTAATCAAGCAGACTCGGAAGGTGGGAGAAACTCATTAGCTGGCTGTGTTCATTTCTGAATGTTGAGCCCCGGGGCGTTTACTATTTTTGAGCATTCTGGAGTGAGTAAATGCAGAGGCGATGAGGACATCTTCCTCTGAGGAACTTAGAAGGGACTGGAAACAACGCGGGCCTTGGGAGGACTTTGTGGAGTCTGTGAAGATTTTGGCTCATCCTCATACCAGATCAGATGTCCCAGGGGCAAAGAAAAGGTGACCCCACGCACATGACCTTGAACCAGAAGGACAAGTCCAGGACAACTTAGAGTCAGGCTGGGCTGACATCTGTCGAGGTAAACACGTGAGAGCACAGGGCTCGGAAGAGCTCGCGGTGGTGGCAGCATGGTTTCAATGGTGCCTCAGCTTAGTCTCTCATAAGTCCCTCAGCATAGGTGGCACATTTGGCAGACGTGGCTTGGTCCATGGCCTCTGAATGCACCGTCACTGGGCACAGCTCAGGGGCCATGTGGTCCAAAGGATGACCGCCGTGCCAGGATGGTGGTGGCAGCGTGGGGCTCCACAGTTGGCTGTCTTGCGGGAGTCTGAGCAGCGTGTGAGGATGGGGGCCTCAGCACCTTCATCTGTGTTTGCTGTCCCCTCATGCTGACTCACCACTGTTGTTCAACTCTTAAACGGTCTTACAATAAAAAACAGAACTCAGAGCCAGGTGTGGGGGTGAAAGACGAGAGAAGCAGAGCAAGCCACAGCCACCCTCACCTCGCCAACTCCTCGGCCGACCCTGTTCCCACAAATCCTCAGACTGAAAGCCTCTGAGTCCTCACCCAAAAGGGTCTCAGCTGAGCTGCTTTAGTTCCTGTTTCCTCACGCCTCACATACCTTTCTCCACCCTGCCATCAATTCCTGGGATTAAAGGCGTGTGTGCTTCCCAGTACTGGGATTAAAGGTGTGCCACCACTGCCTGGCTCTGTTTCCAGTGTGGCCTTGAACTCACAGAGATCCAGAAGGATCTCTGCCTCCTGAGTGATAGGACTAAGGGTGTGTGCCACCACTGTCTGGCCTCTGTGTTTAAGCTAGTGGCTGGCTCTGTCCTCTGATCCTCAGGCAAGTTTTATTTAGGGTACACAATATATCACCACACACCACTTTTACAGGTCTTAGCATCTGTACCCACTTCCTGTGGTGGCCATAGCAAAAACCTAACAAACTCATGCAGAAATTCCCACACAGCCATTGACACCAAAGTCAGAAGTCCATCATGACCAGAGCCATGAACCCTTTAGTGACTGATGTTTCTGTATCCTCAGCCTCCTCATCATCCCCAGGTGCTCCTCAGCAGCTGGTAGCGTCATTCTAGAGTCTTGACTGTCTTCACATATGTGTAGGGTGACTGCTTTTTTTTTTTAACCAGTGGAATCAAATTAAGACTCCCCCTCATGACTTCATCTTAGTTTGTTGACATCCAGAAAGACCTTATCCAGGCTATTTAGATACAAGGGCACTAGTGTGTCTGTGTTTGTATGTGCACTTCTGAGAGGAAAGATGCATGTGCCTGTGTGCACACACATGACAGCTAGAACAGGTCAGGCATCTTCCTCTGTCATTCTCTTCCTTCTTGCTTTGAGACAGGGTTTCTCCCTGAACTGGACCCCACATTTCACTGAAGCTGGCTGGTATCTCCATCCCCCAGGGCTGGGGTTATAGGCATGTGAAGCTCTGCCTGGCTTCCTGTGTGCGCACTCAGGATTTGAACTCAGAACTTCAGGCTTGCACAGGAAGCGTTTTTTACCTGCTGAGCCATCCCCTTAGCCTCATTCACATATTTTAAGGGGACACAACTCTCCCGAAATGCGGCTTCTCTGGTGGCAATGCTAAAGCTTCTTTCTGCAGTGTTTCGCCCCTTGGCAGTCACACCTTCCCCCTGGAGGGTTTCTCTTTGCTGGGCTGGAGAAGGGCCAGACAGCCAAGGGACACTGTGGTCCCACGCATGTTCTCCTCCGTCGTAGTTGTAAGAAAGCAAGATTAACTCTCCAATCACGGCTGTGATTTCTCTTTTCTCGGCCCGGCCTCTGGGCAGGAAGTTTGCTGTGATCAGGCCTCACCTATAGCTTATCCGTGGGGTCTTCTCTGTGTCCCCCGGGCAAAGGGAGCTGGCGCCTCCTTCCTGTAGATCCAGAGTCGCAGAGGATGGGGAATCTACGTCCTGTAGCAAGCTTGCTTAGGCCTGCCTCTGCACTTCACTCTCTGATGACTGCGTTCTCCCTCCTGCGGACACACATCCACAAAGAAACCTGTTTGGCCTTTGGTGTGCAAAATTTCAGGACTCTTAAAAAATGCATAATATACAACAGGATTTTGGGGAAATATCTGTGGAGAAATATGAGGAGGGAAGAAAGAGTTGCTAGAAGCACCTGCAAGGAACCTATCAGCAAAGACAGAAAGGACATGCGATACCTTCAAACCACTACACTGTCATGAGGAAATCTTGGCCAGGCCCATGAGAAAATGATCCCCAGGCAGAGGGTACCCAGTGCCTCCTTGGGACGGACTGTCTTAGTCAACAGAATCCAATGGAACCACTTATGTTGCCCTAACAGCAACACCAGGAATGAATACGCTTTGGAAGTGATGGAAGGAGAAATGCCGTGGTAGATCCGTGACAGCAAAAGCCATCACAGGAGACTCCACAGCCAGCTGCCCTCCATGATGTTCATGCCACTCTTGCAGAAAACACTTCAGCCCAGGAAGTCCTGGTTCAATTTTGGATGGTGTCTCCCGTGCTGTTAATTCAGTGGACCAGGATATCTTACCTAACCTTTCTTGTCTTTGCCTTTACAGCCTTCCCTTTGCCTCAGCCTTCTTTTCACGATGACGCACACATTCCTGCTATGGTGCTATTCCACTCTGAAGAAAATCTCATTCTTCTTTGGAGACTCTGTGCCATAGGTTGGCAGGAAGAAGTGACCAGGCTGTGGTCATCAGTGCCATGGCTATTGTCAAGGGAGTCCTAAGGAAGCCTGTGCACAGCCTCTGCTGAGCCAACACTGGTGTGACTGAGTTGACTAATGAGAGTCAGACTGTGGAGAGAATGGGGCCAGCATACCAGGGATCTTGCTTGCCAAGAGAGGAGAGGCCGAGGGGCACAAAGTGAGAGACCAATGAAGACTCTAGAGATTTAAGAAAAATCAGGGTGCCTGAGGAGCAGGGGACCAATTCCCACCTGGCAGTTGGTTTGGATATTATTGTAATCCAGATGGGTTTGACTGGGGAAATTGGATCAGTGTAGTACTAGTGATAGATAACAGCAAGAGAAAATCAGCTGTCTAAGGTCTTTCAAAGGAAAATATGACAGAATTCAATAACCGGGTACTAGAGGGATGATTGATGAGTTAAAAATAACTTAAAAGACTTTGCATATGGGAGAATGTTGAAGATTAGTTCCATCAGCAGAGAAAGTCCACACATGGGCTCTCTGACAAGAAAAATGAGGGAGGGGGTTGTGATTTATTGGCTCATATTTAGAAAAAGTATGAGCATGTCTGGGGCAGTGCATTCTGGACCATGCACTCCTCTGATCCCTTGACTTCAGTTCTCCTTGGTGCCGCCTTCTTCTTACCCAACTACAGACACAAGATGGCTCTCAGCAAACACCATCACATGTCCACTGTGCCCAATGCCAACAGTGACAGCAGCAGTAACAGATAGGGTCCTTACTGAAGAATCCTGCTGCGGCCTTGCAGCTCACCTTCTCTAGAGCAGGGCAGACCACATGGCAAGTGTGTACTCAGGGAGCTAAGCTCTCATTGGAGTCTCCAGCCAATCCTCATGGATTGAAGTGAAGGGGGTGCTATTGCCCAGTAGGAAATCAGCAAATTCAGGAGAAGTAAAGGTACCAGTGAGACAGCTAGAAACAGAATAACACACACAACAGCGGCAGAGAGCGACAGCTGCTTATTGGACAAAGATGTTTCTAGAACCAAATGAACTTACGATGTCTTCTGTGTGCGGTAACAAACACTTCTAGAGTAGGAGCATTGTGAAATGGATTTTCTGTTGCAGAATTTCAGCTGGAGCTCTAGACATGAAAATTAAGGCAGTTAATACCCCTGTGTACTGAAGAGAGAGGCACTGAATGTAAGTGGACTTGAAGGGGAACACATACTCTCTTTCCTCTATCTCAAAACACCCTGTCCAAGGGACAGTGAGACACGTGGAAAAGTCCCATGGCTTCATGTGAGAGATCTGATAGCTTGCTTCTTTACTTTCTCCTGTGGGGTATGGAATAAAGACTATCTTTGCAAACCCTGTCCAAGCTGCCCATGAGAAGGAAGGGACACAGTGGTTCCATGAAATGGTAAGCGTAACATGCAGAGTGCCTCCAGGAAAGAGGCAGCATCACAGCACATGTTTGGGAGCTTGCTCACTCTCAGGATATTTGGGCTCATTTGGGGGCCACAAGAAGTAGGGATGGTAGAAGTATCTGTGTACTTCCCACAGAGGTCTCCGAGGGTCAGAGAGAGAGATAAACTAGCTCCTGGATCTCACTCTAAGAATCCTTGGATGAAGGATACATCTGGGACTCTGACTCAGAGTGTGGAGTGAATTCAAGGAGAGCCAGAAATCAGCCTGTGGTGATTCCATGGGGGAGTGAAGGTAGATGAGACAGGGTATCTTCTGGCTAAGTATCCATTGAAGAAAGTAGTTGATAGGGGGACATCTGGAGAGCCACACCCAAGGAGAGACATGCCAGCAGGAGGATCCCTGGCAGGAGCCCAGAGTATGGCCAGGCATAGGCAGGGAAGCAGAAGTGTCTTCCTAGAGACATTCAGTGAACTAGAGTATGCCATATTTGGTTCTTTGGGGAGGGGGAGCGGCTAAAGACCTTCCGCAAGAGCCTCTGTTATGCGACTGTCAATCTTTGTGCTAGTCCCATTGCTCTGACAAAACCTTGATGAGATGTGATTTGCTTGTTCGTGAGAGCAGCATTCTACTGGAGCGCATGTTTTGACGGATAAACATGTAATTATCGGGGGCTTAGGAAGAGAGAGGCCAGTGTGTAAAGTGCTTGCCTTGCAAGTGTAAAGACACGAGTTTGAGCCTAAGAATCCCTGTGAACAGCTAGTCATGGTGGAACATGTTTATCATTCCAGTGCTGGGGAGGAGGAGAGACAGATCTGGAGCTTACAGGCCAGGCTAGCCAGCCTAGTTTACTTGATGGTGTCTAGGTGAATGGAGATGCTGTCTCAGAAAAGAAAGCTAGACAACCCCTGGACACATGAGGAATGACAGAGGAGGTTGTCCTCTGTGCTCTCCTGGCATGTGCACACAACCCTGGATATACACCTTTACAGGACACACACATGTACACCCGTGTATATATATAGAGGGGGGAGGGTAGGAGAGGGGGAGGGTAGGAGAGAGAAGGAGGGTAGGAAAGAGGAGGAGGAGAGAGCATATATGAGAGAGAGCATGAGCATGGAAGAGAGGGAGGGGGTATGCAACTGAACTACAAGTGCTGGTGAGGTAGCAATACACACAGTCATGTGGCCCTGAATTCAACCCCAGCAGCCATATACAAAACTGGCTGTGTGGCACATACCTCTCCTCTCTGCACTGGGGAAGTAGAAATAGGCAGACCCCTGGGGCTTACTGGCCATTATATTTTGTGGCCAGACTAGGCCCCACTGAGATAGCCTGTCTTAAAAAACCATGTAGATGGCACCTGATAATACTTGAGGTCAATCTCTAGGACTAAACACACATGAACATATGTGAATACATTGAATACACACTTGCCAAAAAAAAAAAAAAAAACAAAAAAAACAAAAAAAAAAAAAACAGGGATGGAGGGAGGAAGGAAGTGAAATTATTTCAACATCTGGAAGACAGTGAGAAGCATCAGAATGGACCTCATCAGAGGGCTTGGAGTGCAGACCGCACATGATGGGAAAAAGCAGTAGAAGAGACAGGGGATTACACTGTGCTTTGTAGATGGACGTTTTCCATGTCCACATCTCCAGCCTGCAGACCTGCCATGAAGCTGGTGTCCTCCCAGAAGCCTGTTTTTGTCTCCTCCCTCTCTCTTCTTTCCAATGAGTTCCCGTCGGTAGCCCCTCCAGACAAGCTGTTGCCTTCCGGGGCACTTTGCCCTTGCACTTAGGAATCATTCAAGGATACTGGGTCTTGAGGATCTGTGCCACCCTATGGAGACAGGATGCTTTCTCCATGGCTGATTAGCTACTTGGGAAGGCAGGAAGGAAAGAGTCACTGCCTGTGGCCAAAGACCCAGCCAGAAGGTGCCCTGCACGGCAGAGTGGAACGTGTGGATTGGCGTGTGCAGGGGACAATCCGGCCTCACCTACTAGCTCTGGCTTTCATGGGAACAATGGTCATTCAGGTTGCTTTATCCAACTTTTGAGAAATGCAGGGGAAATATATCATAAATGACACGTTTCAGTTCTTTCAGGAAATTGGGGTAAAGCTGTGCCCCCAGAGGGAAGAAAGCCCAGTTCTGATGACCAGGTCTTTGTAGCAATTGGTGGTGATGGGTGAGAAGACACAGCTAACATCGTGGGGACTGGTTTCTGCAGCCAAGTTCCAGTAGAGCTTGGGTTCTGGACATCCTAAGACATGCGTCAGCTTATTCTCTGTCTTGTCACAGAGACTAAAGCCCCTTTGAAGGCTTTCTTCTTCCCTTCTGAGGACAGGGCCGAGTTCCGAAGGAGCCAAATTGAGATGTTGGGATCGGGCACTGTTTTGAAAGTGGGATCTTAGTTCTTGCGAAAACTTCATCACTCTTCTGTTGTGCATTGGCTCATCTGTCTCTGGTGCTGCCACAGGCGTTTGGAGGCTTTGAAAGTGAAGGATTACACTTTGCTCCTCAAAGGCTTTGGCTTATTCTCACTCGTGGGTCCCATCATTTTTATCCCTTCTTTACTTCTGTCCTTTCCCATCCAGCACTGACCCCAAGCGGGGCCAAACTGGCTCTCTTCCCCTCTCATTCTTCTTCTTTTCTCTTTCAAGCCTCTTCTACATTTTTTATGCAAAAAGAAAAGAAAAGACAGAAAGAAAAGAAAGAGTGTAGGAAGCTGGTGTTGCCATGGCAGGAACACTGATGTGGGTGGGCCTTTGGTGGATTAGAGCTTCCCTTGGAGGAAAGTACTGGCCTCAAAGAAATTGAGGGTGGGGGGAGAGAGAGGGAGACAGGAGAAAGGGGGAGGGGGAGAGAGAAGGGGGATAGAGAGGAGAGGGGAAGGAGAGAGGAGGGAGAGCGAGGGGAAGCAGGGCAGGAACAGTAGAGGGAAGGGGATCAGTGAATGATGGCAGAGCAAAACCCTAAATGCATTTGTGGTGACATCACTGCCTTTCCCACAGGGGCCATTGACACTGGACGAAGCATCCATTCAAGGCCCAAAGCCACTCTCCAGGCCCGGCGGGAGGAGCCCCCACTCTCTCCCTGAATGCCTTTTTGTTGGGGAACAGTGGAGCGTTTCTGAAAGCCTGCATAAATGACTGAGTAATTCCCTGTCCTTGCCAGGAAGTCCGAGGCACTTGGGAGCTAACAATACTGAACTTTATCTCCTGTCCCATGCTGGAAGTTCCAGCTGCAGCTCCCGAATTCTAATAAGGGCTTTACTCACGCTGCTGAGGGTGGGCAATAGTTGATCTGTCACCCCTTTTCACTAGGATACAGTCATTGCTGCTGTTGAGAACCAAAGGCAAGCCCCAAGGACCGAGGTGGGTTGGGGTAATAGCGGGGAGGGTGGATGGTGAAGAAAATCAGAGGAAGGAAGGCAGAAAATGGTTTCCCCATTAGCTTGACGGGTCACTTTGCCAGCGTCATGGACTCTACACTGACAGGGAGGAAAAGAGAAGAAGTTCACAGTGACCATGAAGCCCCACCCCAGAAATATTACCTTAGGACATCTTCTGCATTGGGAAGGGTGCGTCTGCTGTCTCCTGTTTAACAGAAAGAACGGCAGCAAAAACAGACGGCATGTCCAGCCTTAGAGTGCCCGCACTGTTAGTTCCCTTCCCTTTTCCATGTCTGTAGGAAAATGCTTGTTTATTGTTTAGTGGCTTCCTGCCCCAGAATAGCCAATTCAGCCCTGAAAGGATGGTTCTCATCTAAGGGCAAACTCAGAGTAGGTGTTAGCTCCCTGCCATGTTAAGTTCTGAGAACATCTCCTGAGAGGACCAGCAAGTTGGATCAAGTATGTCCCCAGGGAAGCCCAGAAAGATGTTCTCTATTAGCTGAATAGAGTGGTGACATTTTAGAGAACGCACAGCGTGGCAGGGGTTTATTGTTACACACATTGCTTCAGTTAATTTTTATGGCAACCCCGGAGTTGTCTATTCCCTGCCCCTTTGAATATGGCTGTGTCCTCATGCTGCCACACCGCCCCTCTCAGCAGAGTTTTATCTCTGCCTTCATTAAAGTCTGAGCTCAGGTCCTCGGGGGCTTAGATTCTGGTCCACAGAAGAAGAAAGACAATCAGGTTAGGGAGAAGACAGGAATCTCCTGGATGGAGAAGGCACAGAGTCCATGATGTCTATTCAGCTTCACCTTTTGGTATTCGCTCATGAACCATACATTCAGCTTCCTGGGAGACACAGGATGGCACAACCTCCAGAATGCCATGCAAGAAGAGAAAGAAACCCAGTTTCACCAGTCCTCTTGCCAACCCTTGAAGCTGATAGGTTTGGTGAATGGTCTACTGGGAGGGCTCAGGAAGACAAGGAGGATGGCATGGATAAGACCATCTTGCCTGAGGCTCCTCTGTCTTGCTCTTTGGAACACTGGCCTCAGGGAAGGGACTGGGATGTGAACACTGCTGGAAGGAAGTGAGACGTTACTCTGTCTGAGACATGTTTACTTTCTCATGGAGAGCATTGCAGATAATGTGGATATGGGAAGGTGGTGCTCACCAGGGTCATGTCTGTGAGGAGAGAGAAAGAAACAGGAGGAATAGAGATGGAGGTAGAGCACACACCACCCCGTCTCTCCCTGCCCTGGCCACCCACTATGAAAACCACGCAGAAGAGAGCAGGTGGATGGGAAGGCACACTTTAAGCATGGCCCATGTGAGCAACCATAGTTAAAAAACAAAGCAAACAACCCACAGATCCTATGCCCGTGGAATCAGTTTGAGAAAGCAGGATACAGAAATCAGCGTGCAGAAACTGATAAACCAAAGAACAAAAAGAAGCTGGGAGGTCTCGGAGGTCTCAGAGGTTCAGAGCGTCTACTCCGCTTCCAGAGGACCCAAGGTTTATTCCCAGCACTTCCATTAGTCAACTCACAACTGCTGTAGAATATTAATTTAAGATGTGGTACATTCATTTATGCTGTGGAACATTGGCTTTAATGATGCAAAGATGTTTTGCATACTTTTATGCTGCATTTGTTTGACTCTGTGAAGCTGTGTTACTTTGCCTGTCTAAAACACCTGATGGTCTAATAAAGAACTGAACAGCCAATAGCAAGGCAGGAGAAAGGATGGGAGGGGCTGGCAGGCAGAGAGAATAAAAAGAAGGAGAAATCTGGGAGGAAAAAAGGAAGAAGAAACAAGAGAACAAGGAGAGGAGGATGCTAGGGGCCACCCAGCCACCCAGCCAGCCATAGAGTAAGAGTGAAAGCAAGATATACAGAAGAAAAGGAAAAAGCCTAGAGGCAAAAGGTAGATGGGATAATTTAAGTTAGAAAAGATGGCTAGAAAAAACAAGCCAAGCTAAGGCTGGGAATTCATAATTAAGAATGAACCTCCACATGTCATTTATTTGGGAGCTGGGTGGTAGGTCCTCCAAAAGAGCAAAAACAATTAACAGCACACAACCACCTGGAACTCCAGCTCCAGGGGGGCTCTAATACCTCTGTCCTTAGTAGGCACCTAAAACTCCTGTGCACAAACCCACATGGAGGAACACACTTACATATTAGTAAAAATAGTTAAAAAAAAAAACAACTTTGGGAAACAGAAATAAACTGTGGCTAACCATTAAACCTTAAAAGATTAAAAGAAGCATCTGAAGGTAGGAATGAAGGCGCTTAGAAGAAAAAGGTAAAGTTTAAAGTAGAAGCTGTGTGATGTGTCACACACTGTGATTCCACAGACAGTGGGGTGGGGGTGAGACAAGAGGAGAGAGAGTCTGAGGCCAGCCTGAGCTGCACAGCACGAGACTGAATCCTAGCCTTCCACAATCCAATAAAAGAAAGCACAGTGTCAAGACAGAGAAGCACAGCATTGAAGAACAGTTGATGATACTCAGGGAAAATAGGAGCACATGACATAATAAAAAGGTAGCAATGGCGCTGGATTGTGTTCATAAGTAGAAATGGTTCCTAAACTGTGAATATAAAAAACGCTTCATTGCTGGGCCATGGTGTCACATGCCTTTAATCCCAGCACTTAGAAGGCAAAGGCAAGTGGATCTCTGTGAGTTCAAGGGCAGCCTGGACTACAGGGCGAGTTCCAGAACAGCCAGAGCTGTTACATAGAGAAACCCTGTCTTGAAAAAACAAAAATATTGATTTAAACATGGAAAATGTGGACAAATTTTTACAAAACAGAAGATAAAGGAGTGCCTGAGTCTACAGAGAACAGAAGAAATCCTAGATGAGCACCAACATAGCCGATAACCTCGAGAAGCCCGGTGAAGTGGTCTGTCTTAGCACAACTCAGTTTACTAGAATGGCTGCTAATAGTTATAAGAGGTGTAAACAGTTTCACAAGAGAAATAGAAATGTGTCCCAAGTGATGCTTCTTATAGGATCCAGACAGTGTCCGAGGGAGATGCTGAGCACATTAAAACATGTGTAAGTTTCAGGAAACAGATGTGAAGAACATGTCCACATTGTTTTCATGCCTGGATCATAGACAATGGAAGAAACCCTCAAGGGACAATGGATCAAGCTCATTTGTTAATGGTGATGGGAAATTCCAAAATCATTCACTGTGGCAATTTGTGGCTCAAGTTCCATATTAGAAAAGAATTTTTAAAAATGCTTTTTGAGACAGGTTCTCACTGTAAAGATCAGATTGTTCATCAACTTGGCATAATTCCCCTGCCTCTGCCTCTCAAGTGCTAGGATTACCCAGGAATGCTTACTAATATCTTTTATGGTACAATTAGATGTAAGGAGAGAAATTAGATAACTGTTTCTAAAAATGTAGAAAATTGTTATCAACAAAATCCATTCCATTCTTCATAAAATATCTTGAAAAAATAGCACTGGCAATATAAATCTCTAATATATATGTATGTATATATATACATACATATGTATATATATGTATGTATGTATATATATACATATATATGTATATATATGTATGAATGTATGTATGTATATAAAGGGAAGCATAGTGATGAACACTGACAATCCAAAAACTGAGGAGTCTGAGGCATAATGATTGTCATGCCAGACTGGGATACACCACAAGATGCTGTTTCCAAAATAATAATTAAAAAAAAAGTGGGGATGAAGACAGAGAAAAAAGAAAAATCTTAGCTATTGCACCCTAATTTTAATTTCAGAATCAGTCCCAGCTGGGATGCACTACAGCCATTCCTTTGAAGGTGAGAAATAAAGATCCCTACTGACTTACCACCATTTAATATTGTTCTAGAAGTATTGGCCAATGTTATTGGATTAGAGTAAAGAATTAAAGGCAACAGGGCTGCAAAACAATATAATTTTCTCAGCTGACATAATAAAATACCAAGAACTCTCTCCAAAGAATTAATGATAAAACTCATCTAATTGAAAAAAGGTAATCAATTACCAGAATATAAAGTTAACATGCCCAAATCAATAGCCCTTTATAGTCACAAATAGCCTATCAGCATGCATAACCAATGAGAATGGCCCCAATAGCTGTGGAGTTACAAGGTAAAATGCATGAGAATAAACTCAAAAATAATGGCTTAAAAACTATCGCAACCTATTGCTATGCCCCAGGAAGACTTAAGGGGATGGAAATGTTTCAGTTATCAACATACAGCTTCCTCCAGGTTCATATCTGAATTTAGTGTACTGGTAGTTAAGACACATGTGTGCAAATACTCATATACAAACATGCAAACACACAAATGCATACAAACACACCCTCAAACACACAAATGCATACAAACACACCCTCAAACATGTACACGTATGCATTCTCTGTCTTTCTTCCTCTCCATAAAGTCAGGTAACAGGATGCTGAAATTCACTGGGAAGGAAAGAAATAAGAAGCAATAAAATAAATCAATCTTCTGTAAGAACCATGGATGCATTTAAGAATCAGTGGAATCAAGGAATTAGAACTCTGTACATGTTAAACATTTAGATTGGGGCTTGCGAGCCAGCTCCAAGGTCAAGGTGCTGGCTGTCATGTGATGTAAGCCCCATGGCCCTGCCTTTGATACTCGGAATCCACACACAGCTTCCATACAATTCCAGCCTCATGATCTGAGTCTAAACCCTACAGCCTACATACAGTGGAGAGTTCCAACTCCACAAAGTGGTCCTCTCACCATACACATGTGCTATTGTAAGCACACTCACACACAATACGCACATATACACATCACACACAATTATACCGATCTTTTAATTTTTTAATTTTATTCTAATACAGAGGTGATTACATATATTCCCCCTTGGGAAAAGATAGCTTCTCAAATAAGTGATATTCAAATAACTTGTCAGCCCTCTTGGGAAAATGACAAAATCAGATACATTCTTATCCTGAAAAAAATTCTAAAAATAACCCCAAGTCCAGATTTCATCATTGAAGAGGTTGGTATATCCCAATCTCGAAAAGGACTCTGTAGAGCATGTGTATGTCATATAAGGCCAGAGGGCAAATGACCCCCTGAGAAAGTACCGATGGCCAATTATACACCTAATGCACAAAGAACTTCCAAAGAGTGGAGGAAAAATGGAACCACACATCTTCTATTCATGTGAGTCATTCATTCATGGGTGGAAAGCTCACAACAGACACATACAAACATCCTGTTTACATGAATACGTCTTGACTTAACAGAGCAATTAAGGTTTGAATGGTGGGAGATGCTACCTCTTACCCGTCCATTTGTACACAGCGAGGAAGTTTGCCCTTCCTCTGCACTGGTAACGCCTGGCAATTCCAAATGGTCCCATTCCTATGTCAGAGAACCGAGTGATTTCAAACACCGTGTACAGCTCTGTAACTGTTGTTAGGAATTTTAGAGATTCTGTTGGAAACTTCAGATGTTTCTTCAGGGTGAAGAGTAATAGCTGACAAACAACCCAAACAGGGGACATACCTTCTCATTTGACCCTCTAGGAGGACCTTGGAATGCTGGCCCCACCTCATGCTTTTAGGTGTTATCTGGGGTGTGTGGAAAAAGGACACAGGTATCTGTGGCATGTGATCAGTGACATAGAAATAGCAGGTGTTCCACGGCTCCTCCCAAAGCATCGCCAGCCTAAAATCCGATGCACACTCTGCCTGTATTCACCTTTCCTGAAGAATTTTCTAAACTGGGCTGCCTACTTAAGAGTCAGCTCAAATGATTTCCACCTTAGACCTCCTAGGCATGTGACCTCAGAGCACACAGGAGGTGTTGTTGAATGCAGTTTGCCTGATCCCAGTAGTATACATGCTATATACTTGATTGGAATAAGTTCTTAGGGTCTGCAGAACAATGAGACCCAATGCAAGCAAGCTGATAATTTTTGCTAAGAACCCTGTCTTGCCTTGTACCTCTTATGGGGGATGTTACCTACTAAAGGACTATGGCAGACAGGGGATTTTGTGAATTCTTTCCGTCTTTGTGTTTTATCCACTCAGTCCCTGGATGTCCCCAGAGTTTCTTCTCTGTTACAATGTTTCATCTTATTGCCCTACACCATCTGCTTTGAAGGTTTTTGCACCTTTCTAGTTTTCTGTTTCTCATAGAATTTGTTCTTTCCTAAAGAAGTACCAGCAGCTACCCGAAGAGGAAGAGAGACTTGAGATGTCATGAACTGGAGTGGGATCTTAGAAGTTAATGGAACAGGCTTTATAAAGAATTGGGCCACAGAATTGGAGAAATGAATAAAGAAATAGAGAACAGACATTAGTATGATTAATAGAAATTTAGACTGAAAATATTTGGTATTCTGTGGTCATGTGGTAGTTAGCATAAATTCAGGGCCCAAAAGACTTTTGTCATGTCTGGAAACATGTTCCTGTCCGTTCTCAAACGGGGACTGTCTGTACTCAAGACCCCTGGAGTCTGAGTCACTTGGCATGGACACTGGGAGAGCAAGGCTGAGGCACCATGGTGCCTAGAGGGTGTGTAGTCATGGCACACACAGCCTGACCAGAGTCATGTCCGTCCATCCATCACATAGGATTGTGCAACAGACACCCCAGGCATGAGTGAGGCACCTCCTGATGGCATATTGGAAAAGGGATGGATTTAAGAGACGATCAGAAATGAGGCAGACAGGGTTTGGCAATTTCCTAGATGAGGGAGAAAGCAGATAAAGGATCACTCTCAGCTGTGACTGGAGGTTCTGGGATCTGAGGCCAATAACAAATGGGACAGACAGGATGAGTGGTTCTGAACTGGCATGCTGGAGACACTGGTGGGATTTCTAGGCAGAGAATTCTAGTCGGTATTTGTGGAGCAGAGGTTCTGCCTGGGAAATGACCAAGGGCATACATCTCCCAAAGAGAGAGAGGTCTCAGAGGAAACCCTGTACCACCTTCCTGCACATAATAAAAAGCTGATTAGAGACATCCTGTGGTTGTAGGTATAATCACAGATGTGGAGGAAATCTGGTCAGTGTGGTGTTCAATGAGACCATTTGTGGCATAAAGGAGTGTTTCATGTCCTTTATAAACTACACTTTGTACTTTCCTTGCGTAAGAACCCAGACAATTCTGCTTTCTTTCTCTTTCCCTAACTGCACTCAACTTTACTAACCCCGAACTAGCCCAGGGTCTCTTGTTCTCAATGATTTATTACAGAGGAATGTCCCAACAGATGGCATTCTGGGAGCTTAGGAACAGAGAGGAGTGCCCTTGACCTCAGCTGCCTCACTGTCTGCTTGGAGCTGGCCTTTTGCTCTGGAGTAAAATAGTTCTGCCATGTTTACAACCAGGCTTTTCCAAAACGAAGCCTTTTTTCAGGACTAGTCAACTTTCATTGAAATTGCAAACCAATAACATAAAATAGCATATTTCATAGCATGTGAATAGAAAATAAAAACTTCTAACCCCACCTTTTATTTTTGAGATTATAACTTCTATTTCTTGTTAACTTCTAAGGCCAGCTTGGATCCTTGATGGTGCTGCCCTTTCAACTGCAGGAATCTCCCCCTGACAGGCTTCCTGGAGACTCCTGCACACTTCCTGCCTGCTCAATAGGAAGCAGTGCCGAGGAGCTGACCTTGGGGGTCTTGCGTAGAGTCCACTTCCCTGTGGAGTCCGGAAATGCTATGAAGCTAAGTCAGCTAGAAATTTAACAAAAGAAAGAGTCTGACTAAAAACAATGAACACACACACATGTGCACACACCCTTCCTCCCCACACATACAAGCATGAGTGCGCGTGTGCGCGCGCGTGTACACACACACACACACACACACACACACACACACACACACACACACACTGATGGTGGGGGCCTTTAATGGCTAAATAATAAAACTCTTTCAGAAGGGAATGAGGTATAAAAATATAGGCTGTGCATGGGTTACGTTTCTGTAATTCAGTCAAGTGACTCTGGGCAAGTTATTTAAACTTCCTAAATCCCAGGTGCCTCATATATTAAATGGAGAGATCTTAATAGTTGTTGAAGGGATTAAGTGAGATAACTTATATTAAAAGCTTAGCTCTGTGGCTAACACAAGGCAAAATGCTCATCATCAAAACAGTAATTGTTAATTACCCTACTTCGCCTATAGGAAGTGAAGAGGGTTCAAGGACATGAAAGATTCATCTCAAGTGCACGAGGACCATGCTATTTGAGGCAGCATTGTAGAGAGAACCTTGGAGAACAGCATCCTTCTGAACTATTGATCTTTGAGGTGCTCTTGGGAGGGAAACGGGTCGTATCAATAGCAGGGGATTGAGCTCAGCAGATTCTTGGAGCCTCTAATGAAGAACCAAGTGCTCTTTCCTGATAGTATTCCGGGAAAGGTTTTCTAGTTTCCTATTTGTGGAAATAGAAGGAATTTTATACTTCCTTCCTTTCCAATGAAAACATCAAAAGGCCTTTTGCATTTATTACTGTTATTTATTGTATATGTGCCTGCTTTGTGTGTGTGTGTGTGTGCCTGAGAACACACCACAGGACTCATAGGGAGGTCAGAGAACGATTTGGGAGTATTGGTTCTCTTCCTTCACTGTGGGCTCCAGATTCAAGGCCTCAGGCTTGGTGACAAGTGCCTTTCCCTAGAGAGCCATCTTGTTGGCACAGCATCAGAGAATATCAGAACTTTTATGTGTGTTGGGGTTTTTTTTTTTAAATTACCATTTTCAACTCTTATCTAGATGACAGGCACTGTAGAGATGGGGCCTCAAAGTTTCTCCAATAAATGTAGAAGAAGGCAGGCCATTTAGAATGGAGCGTGGTATCCCGTCTATCTAACACCAGTGGTGATGACACTGGTCCTGAGTCAAAACCTGAGGAAATGTGCATCACATCGCTGGAGAGAGGTGACCCTGAGTGTGTTGGTCCTACACAGAGCTGCTATAGCCAGGGAACTGAATTTGATGTCTGTGAGCACCGTGCCCAGGGTAGGAACAGCATCCATTGCCCTCATCTTCGGCTGCGCTCATCCTCTCAAAAGTGTAGTGAGCAAGGACCACTGATGGGAAACCAGAACCCTGATGTCACCATTGGGTCCAGGGACAGCCTGTGTGTTCGTTTACACCAGTGGCTGTTCAGAGCTGGTTGACAAATAATGCTAAGTATCTCTCTCTCTCTCCCTCCCTCCTTCCTTCCCTCCCCACTTCTCTCCTTTTTCAGCTCTTAGGTTTTTAAAGCTCTAAATGACATTCCGACCTAAGGAACTGACTGGGGGCTCATAGGGGATCTGAGTCATAACCCATGGGACCTCTGAGGATGCTGGCCGCCGCCTTCACAAATGACACTTCTAGATGCTGTGAAAGCTCAATTCAAATGGGCAGTAAGTGTCAAAGAAAGCTGCCCACGGGTGAAAGAACAGGGAACAAAGTGAATGAGAGTGCTCAGAATCTCCCCCGCCCCCACCCAAACCCTGCAAGCACACTGGAAAACATACTGCACAGGAAAGGAGAGCGGGGCAGGGGTTCTGGCCAGAGCAGGGACAAAACCAGGAAGAGGGAAAAGACTAAAAGCAGCTTCTCTTGAGGGCCAGGGTTGGGCTTGGCTGCAGGGCAGCTGGCCCTGGAGAACCAAGGACTTCAAAACAGTCCACAGGGCTCAAGTGACCTACCTCTTGTGTTTGCCTCCAGCTCAGCTCCTGGGTCTTCCTCATAATTGAATTTCAAAGCCAGGTACTTCGTTGTCTCTCAGGGATGAATCATTAATTCTACCAGGTCATGCTGTCACTTTAAATAATCTGTGAGAATTTCAAGGAAGAAGATCAATTCTGAGAGGAAATCACATTTGAGCAACTAGAAACAATCTGATTTCAGGGAGTGTGGGGTAACATGGACAGAGGATGTTGTTGTTATGTGAATTCGAGACTCCCTTTTGCTACATTATCCTAGTATCCAAGCACACTACAGGCCTAGTTTTAATTTTAGCACTTCTATGTTTCTATGCACGATCCACTGGCAGTTTCATTCATTTATGCTGGCATACGTACATTTGCAATCTGAAAACTGTTAGTATACCACAAAAACATCAGCCCGGTAAGGTCTACATAGAAAATGAGACTGTCGGCATGCAACTCTTACATCCTTCCGAATGCTTCCCTCCTCCGGTGTCACGCGTCCGGACTGTTTTCACAGGCTGCTAGGTCACCGTCACAGACGCCAGCAGCTGCTGCTTCCTCCATCACGCTCTTGTGATGGCTTTCTCACCACACACAGCTTACACAGAGATTCTTCAAACCGGAAGAAGTATGAAATCCCCTTGCTTTAAGCCCTCCAATGAGAAAGAACCTAAAAACAAAGAATAAAGTGAATATCAACCAGATGCAATCCGTGAGCCTCACTTGTATTCTGATTCGAACAAAGGAAAACAAACATTATGTGCAACATTCAACTTTTACACATGGTGTGTTGCTTGGTCATTAGAGGGCAGCATTGAAGGAATCATTCAATGTTCCAGTGTGAAACACACTGAATTGTTTATGTGGGAAAGAAACAGAATTAAGAGTTTGCGGGACAGTTACGGGGAGGCGTGCTTAGCCGGCAGAGAGCTCATATGGCCTATACGAAGCTCTAGATAAATCCCGCACGGCAGTGCGGACTCGAGTCCCACAGTCTTGGGTGGGAACGGGTGAAGGTAGTCAGGATGGAAGTTCAGAGTTTTTCTCAGTGACATAGCAAGTCTGACACTAGCCTGGGATGCAGGAGACTCTGTCTCAAAAACAAGACGTGATGAGACAAAATTGAGCTGGGCAGGCTATGGACAAAACAAGGATGCTGCTTATTGGAGGCGGGCGATGCCCGCACAAGGTTTGTCTTGCTCTTTTCTGCAGTTTGAGGATCTTTAACAGCCACTGTTGTTAAACGAATCAACAGATAGAGCCCTCTGTGGACTTACCTGGGCACCTTGGGTAAAGTCCAATGCCTGACAGCTTCCATAGCCTCCTGTCTAGACTCCTCCTGTTCTCAGGTCCACCATATTGGTTTCTGCAATTCCCAGAGCTCTTTCCTGGCCTAGGATCTTTGTGCTTGTTCTGCACCCCCACCCCCACCCTGGCCAAGAGCGTGGATTCTGCAGGTAGTCCTCTGGCCAGAGTCTCTAGAGAGACTTCCCTTGTCCTGTCACTCAGTGGTGCTTCCCTCTCATTCCCCTGTTTCGGTTCCTTCCCCCATATTGTCTCTGTGTTTTCCTGCCTGGGACAGACTTCCTGTGATACATGCCCCTGTAGAGCCCAGAGTTTTTACTCCTCCACACAAGGTTGGGAATACAACAGTGTGTGTGGGGGAGGGTGGGGTGGAGGGTAGAGGGGCATTCAGCAAATGTTTGTTGGATGAGTAAACAAATGTCAAACTTCCTTGCAAACAATGCAAAATACATTCTTGAATGGCTGACCTTTTACTTTTCTCCTTCCAAAATGAGATTGAGAGGAACAGAAAGATAAGGACGATCATTTCCTTATTCTCTCTCCTCCCTGCTTCTCCCTGAAAATCGCAGTAGAAGAAAAAAGAGAAGGCTAAGCATGCCTCCCCCTCAGGACAGACTCCTCTGAGTGCTGATGCTGTAGAAAGCAGATGAGTGGGAAAAACAAAGACCCACCCTCGCCCTTCTCTCTGCTTCCTTCTCTTCTTGGCTTAAAAACTCCTCTAGTTGTCAATAACCTGATGATCCATCAGGGAATAAGCCCTGAATAATGAAAATAAGCTTTTACCCTTCCGACCTGAAAAGTATCTCCGCATTTCTCTGCTTTTTCCTCAGCTCTGAATCCTTTCCCCCAGCCACGGCCCTCTGCCTCCTCCCCAGGTGGATTTCTTTGCATTAACAGAGCTCATATCAACACGGTTCCTTTGGATGTTCTAGAGAATGCCATTAAAAATACAGCACAGATGTTGCCACAATGTCAGCCCATAGATCACATTCTGCCTAAGGGTGCAGGGACATACATGGGAGTCAAGGGGTTAAACTCATTTTCAATTTGCCTACAGATGGATGCGCCCGGCTTTCCCTTTATCTGCGAAGCCTGCATCCATAGGACCGCAATAACAAATATTCAGGAAGCTGCATTCAATGTGAGATTTAACAAAAGGAATTAGCCACAGTGTGTGAGCAGTAACTTTAAATAGCAGAAGAGTGACAAAGGCACTCTGGCCGATAAAAGAGAACCGGTAATTACTCTATCAGTGCCCTTTGCACACCAAGTTTCTAAACTGCGGTAAAAGGTTCTCCACGAGTCTGCCTTCTCTTTCTCCTATCAAAATAGAGCAAAATAAACTATAACAGAGGCCAGCTGCATCTCTGGATCATTGAAACAAAACAGTACCACCAACTTAGTAAAGTGTTCTTAGACTCCATGCAATTTCTAATTGCAAAATTTAATTGTTAAAAAAAAAACAAACTTAAGCTGTTTTTATAGAGCCTGTTTTCACAGCACTAGCCCCGGAGAGGAAGAGTAACAAACCCCACATTTCTCAGCTTTCTTGCAGGAGCAGTGGACCAGACCCTTTCTTTTTAATATTTAATCTAAACTTTATTAATTCTTCTAGACATAAAGAGCTCAATGTCTAACATACGGTCACCTCTAAGACTGTAGCGCACAGCTCCTGGGATGCAAAGTCCACACAAGGCCTTTGGGTCTTGAGTCTTCTTTGCTCTCGTGTTAGTTCAGCTGTGTTGTCTTTTTAAGTTTTAAAAAGCCTTGATTGGAAAAAAGCACTTGTACCCCATGATGCACAAACACTGAGGAAGGTGAGGTTGGAGACTAGAAGACCATAGATATCCTCCTACCCACAGTCAGCCAGGCAGTGCAGGAGGGTAGGAAAGATACCCGAAGCATGCTTTTCCTTGAAACAGAGGTGCATTGAGATGTTCACTGTATCTTCCAATCCTTGCTTCTGCTCACTTGACACTATGTTCTCATTCTCAGCCTAATCTTTTAAAAAGATTTATTATTTTTTTTAAAAGATTTATTTATTTATTTAATTTTTTTTTTTGAGACAGGGTTTCTCTGTGTAGCTTTGCACCTTTCCTGGATTTATTATTTTTAAGTGTGTGTGTGTGTGTGTGTGTGTGTGTGTGTGTGTATGTGTATGTGTGTGTGTGTGTGTCTACTGCATGTGAGTGCAGTACCCATAGAGGCCAGAGACATCAGATTTTCCTGCAGCTGCAGTTTGAGGCAGTTGTGAGCTGCTTGATGTGGGTGCTGGGAACTGAACTTGGTTCCTCTGCAGAAGCAGTACATGCTCTTAACAGCTGAGCTGCCCTCCAGCCTCCGTTAGCTAAACTTCTTGTGATGGCTGAGCATCACCATGTGATTATCTTAGTGTAAGGACAATGATGTCACTATGAAGCTTGGAATATTTAGAAACTTAACCACCTCAAGGAGACACATGACTCTTTCATCTTTTGAAGACTTATCAAGTGAAGGATAAAGACATAGCCAAATGATTCTGGAAGGGTGGAACCAAAGTCAACAGGTGAGAGTTGTATGAGGTTTCATGATGATATATTTATGATTCAATATACGAAAATTCTTAGAATTAGTATTATCTGTTCACAAATGGAGACAGATGGGCTTTGTTGTATATTGGAAAAATGTAGAGTCCTGTGTGCTCTAAAGTTGTGGAATGGATTTACCATTGTCAGCAACGTTGCTCAAAGGGTCAACCCAACACCAGATAACCACAGGACAGGGACTGCTGTCTGTCCTTGGAGATGCAGCCTGTTCTAACCTGACTGAAATGAATCTCTAGGAAATGATTGCTTTGTTGGGGACACCACTGCCCAGCCTCATTTGCATATACTTGAGATCTGGTGATGAGCCTTTACCATGGACATAAAAGCAGAGGTGGAGTCTAGTTTCTCTATCAGTGGTAGGAAGCCTCTCTCCATCTTCACCCCTCCTCCTCCATCTGTGATGTGAGGCTGAGTCCGGTGAGGCCCTGTGGATGCTGCAGTCATGAGAAATAAGTTCCAGCTCTGAAGGCTTCTCACCGTCCAAGAACTAGCCTAGACTGTTATAGAGCCCATCCTTAAACTCTCCAATTCAGGCATTCATTGACTTTACACAGCAATTAGCATTGCTCTCCGTGACATAATCATCAAGTTCCTTCAAAATGTGGATGAAGAGACTAGCGACTCTAAGCCAGTGTGGGTCGGTTCTGGGGTTTATGGATTACAGAACAATTCTGGAAAATTTTTGTTTTCCGGCATTGACTTTGCCCAGGACAAATGTTTCTGGGTCTTCCCCCGCCTCCCTCAGCTCTAATTTAGAGCCTTTGTTCTGTCATTTTAGTTAAGCCTTCTCTAACAGCAAATGGGAGGACTAGCTGAGCAAGAGAAAAGCCCTTCTCTTTACATGCATTCTGTTTTCAACTGTGTTTCCTGGGCAGTATTGGGGATACTCAGACACAGATTACTTAGAGATGGAAGCCACAGGGAACAGAAGACCCATAAACAGGACTAGGATGGCAATTTGTGTAATGACTGAGGGACAGGAAGAGGATACAGAATCCAGGAACAGCTGCTGAACAGCTCAGAATATTGTCTTCCCAGACGCTCCAAGGCAGCCAAGGGCCTGAGCCGAGAAACCAGGTTTCTTCTGGGCACACATCACTCTTTTCCTCTCCTTTGAAGGACACTGAACTTCCATATAACCATGAAGGCCAGAAGCACGCATAGGACCAAAATAGCACTGCAGTGAAGGACTGTAACCTCGGTTAAACACACAGAGCCCCACTGCAGTCTGTGGTCATTAGGCACTAATGCACCGGAGTTGTTAGGGTGGAATATATAGGCCAACTTTTGCAGAGTAGGACCTGGGGCAACAAGAGCATAACCCTTTGTTGGCAAGCAGGGCGATCAAGCAAATCGGAGTTCAGATGCCAGCGTGTCTATTTCCCATGCTGTGCTCAGCCGGTCTCTGAGAATGTCAGTATTATGAGCTCAAACCTTCATCCCCAGCCAGATTCCTACAGAGGGAGGGGAGGGACCGGAGGGGATGGGAGGGGATGGATGGCCAGCTTGTTTTCCTCCGGTGTGCTCAGTCTAATCTGTACATATGCGCAGACCCATATTTAGAAGCTGTCTGGGCAGAGAGGGTTGAGCCACGGTCGCTCTTGCTTGTCACTTGAAAGATACCGAGGAGGAACGGGAAGTTCAAAGCCAAGTTTTTACCCAGAGCTTGATTCTCTTCCTCCTCACAAACCTGCTAAGGCAGAATCTGCCTGATGTGGAAGTGAAGGCTGCCTGTCAAGGACACGGAGCATTCGCGTCCTTCTCCTCTGAGTGTCTGTCATATTGGCAGGCAGATGCAAGTGAGACTCCTGTGGGACCACGGTGGGTCAATAATGTCAATGTGGTGTTGGGTTTACATTCAGCTTTTCTTTGACTAAAGAGATAGCTATTATGTATAATTAAGGCTTGGGAAACAGTGTCAGCATTTTTCCTTAGAGAAATGAATAGGGGCAATAGCTGGAGGGACCGACGTCTGTGGCAGCGGCTGGCTGTGACTCCAGGCTGCACAGCTTGCCGCCCTGGAGATGTGAGCTGCTCTACTGGAATGGGTGCAGCCAGCAGCCCCTCCCTTCAGCCTGTGCTGCTGCTGCTGCTGCGCCCCCTCTCAGATGAGTCTAAATCCCAGAGACAGCCTCGTTACAGCCCAGATTTCCATCCCCAAGTCCGTCCCTGCGCTGAACGGCCGCCCGCCGTGACCTGTCACCTCCATTCCATTGCTAACTCTCTGAGAATAACCCAGCTGCTGGCAGCTTCTCTGTCTGTGTCCTTGATGGTCAGCCATGTGTGACTCCACGTGGATGCCCGGAACTGAGCCTGCAGGTCCCAGGAAGGTCCGGTGTCTTCGGTGAGCACCCCTGTCTCTACCACGTCAACGTGGTGATTCCAGAGTGGCTCAGAGGAGTGTGAACGTGTGAATGTGAGAAAGTCACTGTTGGAGTTGTTCCCAATCTCTTCCCCGGATCTGGTGACCCCGAGTACCCTTCGGCATCATTCTCCTGGCTCCCCCTTGTGGCCCAGGAGACCACAACCAGAATTATTATTACTTTTTGATAGTATAGTGATATCATTTTTCCCTTCTTGCTCCTCTGTCGAAACCCTCCCTTCTGCCCATCCTTACTTTATAACTTCACGATACGCCTAAGGAGATCCCTGGCAAACCTCCTTCTGCAGGGCCACATTTGAGGGCAACTGGTCCACCCTGATTCTGAAGCCCAGCACCCAGGGTCCTGGGAGCTTTGGTGTTTTTCTGTACCCTTCTTTGACAGTCACATTTTTTGCCAGAGACTGTGGGGGTCACTTGCTTGTGAGGTTGTGTTGGGGGAATTTTGTCTTTTGAATTGTTTTTTAAAGGCCACGTGAGCCCACACTGCCCCGGAAATCATCCTGTAACCCGTGCGGGGTTCAGATTTGAACGGTTGTCTGCCTTGGCTTCCTGAGGGTTCAGTAGCTGTGTGGGCTATGGTAGCAGTCTGTTTTAGTGGGAAGTCCAGAGGCAGAAGGTGAGGGGGTGACCACCTCTGATGCCTCCAGATTTCTGACAGTTTGGGTGGAAGGTTTCGTGGACGTCACTGAAAGGGTTCCAATGAATTTTTCATCCACGTAATTCTCAGATGTCTGCAAGATACTGCACCACCACAGACGAGCCAAACCAAAACAGCTAGAACCACCATCCTCACCACAGCTATCACCATCACCACCACAGCCATCACCACCATCCTCACCACAGCCATCACCATCCTCACCACAGCCATCACCACCATCCTCACCACAGCCATCACCACCATCCTCACCACAGCCATCACCATCCTTACCACAGCCATCACCATCCTCACCACAGCCATCACCATCCTCACCACAGCCATCACCATCACCACCACAGCCATCACCATCCTCACCACAGCCATCACCATCCTCACCACAGCCATCACCATCACCACCACAGCCATCACCATCCTCACCACAGCCATCACCATCCTCACCACAGCCATCACCACCATCCTCACCACAGCCATCACCATCCTCACCACAGCCATCACCATCACCACCACAGCCATCACCACCATCCTCACCACAGCCATCACCATCCTCACCACAGCCATCACCACCATCCTCACCACAGCCATCACCATCCTCACCACAGCCATCACCATCATCCTCACCACAGCCATCACCACCATCCTCACCACAGCCATCACCATCCTCACCACAGCCATCACCATCCTCACCACAGCCATCACCATCCTCACCACAGTCACCACCATCCTCACCACAGCCATCACCATCACCACCACAGCCATCACCATCCTCACCACAGCCATCACCATCCTCACCACAGCCATCACCATCCTCACCACAGCCATCACCATCACCACCACAGCCATCACCACCATCCTCACCACAGCCATCACCATCCTCACCACAGCCATCACCACCATCCTCACCACAGCCATCACCACCATCCTCACCACAGCCATCACCATCCTTACCACAGCCATCACCATCCTCACCACAGCCATCACCATCACCACCACAGCCATCACCATCCTCACCACAGCCATCACCATCCTCACCACAGCCATCACCACCATCCTCACCACAGCCATCACCATCCTCACCACAGCCATCATCATCCTCACCACAGCCATCACCATCCTCACCACAGCCATCACCACCATCCTCACCACAGCCATCACCACCATCCTCACCACAGCCATCACCATCCTCACCACAGCCATCACCACCATCCTCACCACAGCCATCACCATCCTCACCACAGCCATCACCATCCTCACCACAGCCATCACCATCCTCACCACAGCCATCACCATCCTCACCACAGCCATCACCATCATCCTCACCACAGCCACCACCATCCTCACCACGGCCATCACCACCATCCTCACATTGAGCACATGGCTTGGGTCCCCAGATCCCCGATGTTGCTGAGAATTTGTATATATTTTTAGAGAAAAGTAAACAAGCTGAGTTTATTGCAAAGCAAAGTTGTAGGCCTCTGTAGCAGAGGGCGCTGCAGAGGAGGAGGTGGCCTGAAATAGGTTGCTGTAGGGTAAACTTTACCTTCTTTTTTCTCTTTAATTGCATTTTTTCCTTACCAAAGAAAGAGGAATTTGCCATTAGACATAACTTAAAGGACCTTTGTTAGAGATTGGATGAGGGCACGGGAAGGGGCAGTGTGGGGTGGGTCGGCCTGGGACCTCTTGACTCCGGCTGGGCTGAGGGCCCGGTTCCACTGTCTACTGGAGTACTGTATGATCCTCATCCAGGACCCACCATATGTGCCTTGTGCCTTCGTCTTGGGGACTGGCTGAGGTAAACTGGGGGCCTCTTAGGACGTTCCCTGACTCTGGAAATGAAGATGGGACGCTAGTCTATACCTCTATAGCCTTTTGTTTGGGCACTTTAAGCATCCCAGTTTTGCCAACGTTAGTTTGGGTTTGGAAAGTTAGAAAAAGGTTGTGCAGCCGTTTGGAGTCCTTGCCTACCGAGCTCCGGCCCTCGGTGAGTGGGTGGCTGACGCAACTGTTGGCAGGCAGAGGCCTAGCTCACGGGACGCCCCCACGGTGGACTCGGGATGGTCTTTATTTGTGGAAGGCTGATGAAATTCTGACCCCAGCTACCCTGGGAAGCTGCAGGCGGCTGCGTGAGAAGAGCTTCGGGCTCAAGCCCAACCCTGGAGGACAGCTGTCCACAGAGAATGATGGCACCACCCTTGGAAACTTCCGTAGGGAAATCAGGCCTTGAATGCATTCGAGGGAGCTGAACCCAGGGAAGGGGGCCCTGGGGGAGACAGGCTGTATGAGCCCAAAGTAAGGAAACTGGGTGTAAATTATTGGGTAAAGAGCACACATGAGCACACACGCACACACCCCACACACATATAAGTCACATACACCCCATGCACATATGAGACACATACACCCCCCACACACATAACACATATACACCCCACACAATATAACACACACACACACACACACACAATTGATGGTTTGTAAACCTTGCCAATGTCTAACATTTCACCAGCGTTAAATGCAGTGGTGGGGGAGGGTAGGAGACATATGCTTTAACTAGAAACCAGAGATCTATTCCGTTCTGTTCCATGCCTAGGATGATGGTGTACTGAATATTCAGTTCACCCATCTGTATTCTGTATTTTTCCCACGACACCTATGATGTGCCATTTTGAAAGAGAAGGAACAAAAGGCAACATCATGTTGAAGGTCCATGCCGTGGGTGTCAGAAGAGAAGCATTAGCATTGCTCAGTTCTCCATCGGATCACCCACCCCAAACTTCCAAGGAAGAATGGGAACAGTCTTGGGTTCCTCTTCCTTCCTCAGAGACCCCTCCCTGATGCTGGCATGGACTCAACTATGTTTGAAAAAAAGCCAGTGCTGAGTGGGGTTAGCGGTGAATGGATGGAATGATGCTCACCAGGCACACCAGGCAAGCAAGGCTGTTGCCAGACAGAAAAGGTATCAGGGGGGAATGGTTGAGTTGTCCTCTGTCCTCCACCAAAGACCAGACAGGCTCATCTCCTCTCTCTCGGCACCAACCTGCACCATATGTCCACCAGCCTGCTCACAGGTGGTCCCGGAAGCCATTTGTTTTGGGTGGTAGTGGGTGGTGGTCGTTGGGTGGTTATTGGCTTTGGCACAGTGCTGGGGTTGGGCACCCAGGAACCCTGATACTTCTCAGGAACTTTTATCACCCAAATAAGGGATTTTGACAGCTGAAACATCTTATGAGAATGGCATTGAAATGTGCAATGAGCCATAAATACACAGAGTGCAACAGCCAGGAAGCTGTGCTAATCGCAGCTTTGATGTCCCACAAACTACTGTAGCTGGAGGCCCTTGGGCTCCTAAAAGCCTCTTTGGGCTCAGCAGACACTGCTCGGTGGATCCAGTTTTCCACTCCTCCCCTCATGAGGACAGCTGTCATCCCTGACTCAAAGGAAAATCCTTTCTCTGCCCTTGCCTGGACACTGCCTTTTCCTGGCCGTACTCCCAGGAGCCTCATGCTTCCTCCCTGCCCTGGGGTGGCAGAGGGTGAGGCTGGCTAGACCCAGCCAGAGTTTCCCAAAGTTCCCATGTCATTCGCCACCTTGTCCCACAGCAACATCCTATTTTTAATTTCTGGTGACTGGTAGTCTTGATTGGCCGTGGCAAGACATGGAAGTTCAGCTTGACCTGTGTTCTGGGGAGAATGTCCTTCGCCCACAGAACGCGCAGAGGGGATGCTGAAGGTCCTCTAGGGAAAGATGGTAGGGCACCCCGGCTTCCCCTATGCTTAGAAACTGCTAGTGAAGGGCCTGAGTGCCGTCTTTGATCTTCGGATTGCGTGGATGCTGCAGGGTGCAGGGAAATGCCAGTCGGCTGTCTGCTGTCTGTGACTAAGTAGGTTACTGTCTGCTGTCTGTGTTTCTGTGACGACTCCAGTGTCCCAGGAATGACAGTGTCTCTTAGCTCCTGGGTCTAGGAGTGCCCTCTTGTGGGTGAAAGAGCTTTTACCTGATTTTGTGTGTGTGTGTGTGTGTGTGTGTGTGTGTGTGTGTGTGTGTGTCTGTCTGTCTGTCTGTCTTTTTAAAAAAGTTCTTTTTAGTTTTTCAGGGTCTCATACATGCATATAATATGTTTTGATAACTTATTCCCCCAGCCCTCCTCCTTATCCCACTTCCCCTTTCCCCATTTTTCCCTACCTACTTCTTGCTTCTTAATTTTAAACTCACGGAGTCCAGGAAATGCAGTCCATATGGGCATGGGTATAGAACCATCCACTAGAACATTCATTTATCTTTTTGAAAAAAATGAAACAAAAACAAA